AGGGTAGCCAGGGCAGAGACGAGGAGGGAGCGGAACATGACCATCTTGTTCAGGTATGGGGTGGAATTGTGATATGGCACACAAAGGTATTTAAGAAGTGATTTAATAGATCGCTTGCTGGAGGACTAGGATAGAATTATCTGTAATCGTAGGATCCATCCCCCTTTTATACTTCTTTATCAATACCCTAATTGAGAACCATTGCACTAGTAATCTCCCGATATTTACCCTGCGTCTACCGGTAGCCACTAAGCCCAAACTTGAGTCTATCTTAGTGGGAGCCTTAGAACCCCTGCGTTTTCATTTCGTTTTCTTTTTTTTTTTTTTTTTTTTCTTAATCTCACATTTACTCTGTAGCCTGGCGCCCTGGCCCTGTTTCAAAGTGAACACCAGCCAGGGTATCTAACGACCTAACGACAATATAGCGGGACAGTTAACCCGCTAGAGAATACCTAGTCCGTAGGGTCTCGGATGAACTCCTGATTTTCACCATCTGACATCCAATCGGCATTTTGCGCTTGGCATCAAAATCCTCTAAAAAAAGAGCCAGTGGCCAAATCGGGATTTGCATCCGCTCCTAGTTGGGTTGGGAACTTGGGATGACTCCACTCGTTCCCATTATTAGGGGTTGAAGAATGGCTGAAGTTTATTTGGCTGAGAGTCCTCTCTCATGTCCTTGCTCTACACAGGTCTCATAGGCAATATCGACTGCTAACCAGGTATAGTACAATAAGTGCATAAGTAGATCTAGTCCCAATTGCTAAAGTATATCAACATCCAAAGAGTCTCTGTCACAAATCACAAATCCCTAGTCATGATACGACCGCGTTCCTGCGTCAGATCTCGTGCCGCTAGGGACAGCGGAACCGAGCCCTAGTGGGGCGCCATCCCCAGAGGATTCACCTCCAAGATACAAACCAGGTTAGGGCTTCGTGCTAGACTCAAACAAGCTGTTTTCTGTTGGAGAGCAAAGTTCGTCGAGTTTTACATTTGGAGAAATGATCGTCACGCGAAGCACCTGCGGTTTCCATGGGTGGTAGGCCGGATACGAAGTGCCAGGTATCGTCGGCATGTCCTCGGAGAAAATCGGTGCTAGGGCTGTTGGGGTTGGAGCGCATTCTAATCCTGTTGGATACGAGGGTTTTTGGTTTTACTCCGGGGTTTGGCTTGAGAATAAGAGGTATTTTTTCGCTGGGTGTTTATCGGAAACTTAGGTTGATTCATCTGACAGATCCCTGGTGGGGCGGTTTGTTTCGTCTTTGAGTTGTGATCTGTGCTGTGGAAGGGTCGATGAGAAGATGTGTCTGTATATCCAATCGTAGCGGTTTTTACAACATGACATCCTCGGTACTTTGCTATCTGCTCTTGCTCATCTGTCACTCTTCACCGTGTGACTCTGCCGAAATATGATCCTTCATATTAACCCATGTCAAGTGCAAGGTCCTCCGCCAACGCGACTGGCTGCAGACTGGGATTGAGGGCCGTCTATCTCAAACACCAACATACCAGGCAGACGCAGAAGTCGAAATGAAAAGCTTCATTTTGGGTTTCAACCAACGTATGGAAGGAATACCTTCTAAAATGTTCAGGCCAGGTTTCTCCACATTTCATCATCTAGGAGTCACGAATATCACTCTCCGATATAACCCTAAAGGTTTCTCACAAATCACGCAAGAAAGCTTCGCAATGGGTGTCTATTCTATGGCAGTTCTTTGCAATTAATTGTAATTATTCCTAAAATGATACTCACAGTACAGGGCAGGATCTGAGTAACAGATACAACTGTCAAATTATTGTCTGTCATTAGTATTCGATCTGACACCGAGGCTGTCTGGTGTATCGAAATCCCGTCAATAAAGCCACCATATAGTCTGAGGGCCATCACATATTGCAGAGATAATAACAAGAGCTATACCGAGGTAAACACTTATTGTCCGTAATTTAAGGATGATTTTCTAGGTGACTGTAGATCCCGGGGCATATCGGTATTAGACATCTATTTTTGGACCCGAGAATGGGGCATATCCGATAATTAACCTTCATGATTTTCTAGTTTAATTTAGTCCTTCATTTCCTAAGTGTCCAAGTAAGCATAAGTTGATATTTATGATCTACAGAATTGGCTTTGGGCTTCCGTTTATTTGTCTGGCGTGGAGTTAAAGATGTAGGACTACTGTTTCACCACATTCTTCTAGAAGATGAATACATCTCGATAGATGATGTCAGAACCTTTCATTTCCGCTCTCTTCTGTTTCATATACATGAGTCCGTATGCTATCAGGCCTTTCCAGTATACTTCAACGAATAAACACCCCTCTCAATACTATTCAACAAGATATTTCCGCTCGGGAAATAAGGATAAACACTCCAAGCACCCACAAACTCAACCTCCCCACCCTGGGCATCATCATCAGGATGGCAGTCAAAGAAACCAACCTGTTTGAAACCCTTGCCGGTCGGATCATCCTTGATAGAGCTAACATCGACGATGCGCAATCCGCTCCCATAGTTAGCTTGGTATGTCAATCCATCGATAACATACTGGTTATGATCGATTGATCGCACGGGAGACTGGTAGGTCCCCGTGTGCTTCGGGCTCGCTAGATCCTTAATGTCGAAGATGTAGGTCGTCGTGTGTCCGTTAGCGGCTTCACCTGTTCCCTCTTGTTCGTCCAGTTCATCGTCCAGGAGGAGGTAGGACATGTCGGAGGCTGCTATCCAGCCTTGGTGCGTGTAGCTTGCTCCGACATAGGGGGTTTTGGAGATCTGGATTGGTGAGGCCCTGTCTGTTATATCGACGATGGTGAGGGTATCCTCGTTATAGTTGAAGCAGATCTCACGGTTGGTATACTTCTTGTCAGGGCCGGTGTAGATCACGCATTGTGCTGGTTTGCATTAGTGTTGGACTTTGAGCGGAGCCATTTCATCAGAAAGTCCTACCATCGTGGACGTAACCGTCTTCACTGACACATCCGGGTGATGTCGGGTTCGCCGGATCAGACACATCGATCATCCACAGGCCGCCCGCGCAGGATTGGTTCCTAGCCGTGCCGACAGCGAAGATCATGTTGGTCTCTTCATGCGCGACGATGTTGTGCGAGCTACCAAAACCACCGTACCAAGCAGTTAGGTCTTCCGCTGTCGAGTAATTGGTCGGGTTATTGCTGTCCGTGTCGAGAAGCTGGACTCCATTAGCCTTGGACGCAATTTAGATATAGTAAGGTTAGCACTATGATATACCTTCTTCAAGTCAAAGATCTGAAGTCCATGTCCTGGTGACTCCGATCCAATATACGCATGATCTCCAATTACTTTCATATCGCGCCAGATAGTCGCTGTTGTCTGCGTCGGTAGACGACCAACATACTGCAGACTGCCATCGTCCAGAACTTCTACGAACGCCGTTCCGTCCGTTTGGCCAATGATGCCAAATTCACGGCCATCAGCCGATGTCCATCCTGTTCATTCTTAGTCTTATATCTACCGAACAGAAGCATATTGTGGTTAACGTACCCCAGATATCATTTCCCTCCCGAGTCGTACTGCCCATGGCCTGGTGACTCAGGAAACCAAGGAGATCAACGTTTTCACAGGAATATTCTCCAGCTTTGCCATCCACGCAAGGCGTCTTTCCAAGGTCAATATAACTGTTTGGTTTGAATAGACCCTGGGCACGGGATCGCTCGCGATGTTCCGTTTTAATAGACATTAGATGGCTCATGATCGGAGCGGCTTCGCGGGAGGCCGCCCCGAGACAAGCCAAGGACAGGAGGGAGATGAATGATGATTTCATGATGTACGTTGCTCGGGAGAGAGGCAAAAGAGTAGTTCTGATCTGCTGATTCCTGTTATTCTCTCCATCCTGCCACTCTTATATGTCCCAGATGCCAAAGTCTCGCTCAACAAAATCACCCGCCAAGGAAACGAGACTCCCCTCACTTGCGCCAAGTCTCTCAAATCTGCCTTTATCGCAGTAGATAGAGCACCATGATCATGGACATGGTGCGGTAGAAACCGCAAACAAACTTTAATAAACGTTCTTCACTCACGCACAGATAAGCGGAGAGTCTTGGTAAAAGCCACTGATTTGCTCTGAATTAAATGCTAATCTTCCTGTGGTTCTTGGGTTACATGGAAAGCGGCTTGCGACTGAACCGAGGCTGTTGGTTGGACGGGACGAGCCTTAACGCCGCATAAACGCTGGCATTAGCCATCTTGGCAGGGACGCAATGTAACAGGGGCCTTATCGGCATTTGCTTGAACGATGGGCTGCTGACCTTTGGATTTGTAATATACGTTTCTTGCCTGGATCAGGGCGGCGAGTTGGCGTATCTGCAGAAATAGACATTATCGTAATTAAAGTATCGATAAGAAGGGCTTAAGGCCAGAAAAAGTCCATGTGCTGGCTTTAGCACAAATAAAAAGACACGTGGGAAGGTATTGTCATAATGTACATTCTTCAGGTAAATCATCACTCTCAGTGGACTATCCTGGTAGAAAGTGCTAGGAGAGAGTCATAAAAGTGGCCTGGCTGTCTCCAATAACACTACCCGTGTTGGTTACCGGTTCAAATGAATCACCCCTATACTTCGTATCGTGTCTTCGTAGCATGGGCCGTGTGCATTGCCCGCTGAACCGCTGCTTTTGCCAAGTAGAATCCCCGCACACACGTTCGGATAAATCGATCGCCTCCAAGAACGGAGCTCCGTCGGATGAGGGCGAGACATAGTCTTGGACAGGAAACACGTCACAGGGACACCGAAACACGACATCCGCGCTCCTCGGTGAACGTTCTGACTCGTATCAACACCTCAAATGATCATTGTGTCGTGCACTGATGAGTGAAAGGATAGGACGCGACTTTTCCCATACGTGTGCTGCTAGGAGTTCCGCCGGGAAATCACAGAAAGTTCGTGTATCCATCATAGGACTCCGCTTCTTTAAGTTAGAAAGAGTTGGAATGGGCTAGGGGTTCGAATGACCAGACTTGATCGAACCTCTTAACTGGGAAGCAAAGGCACTAGCGGGATTTCATTGTACACCCAATTCATTGGCTCCGCAGTGCTCTGATTCAGAAGGACATCTGTCATCTAACCAATAATGAGTTATGAATAAGGTGAATAGATTGAGTCCTCACGTACCATAAAGTCCCAGTCGTCTATCGACTCAGGAGTTATCTCCAGGCCCATTTGGCCAAGGCCATTTAAAAAGCCTTCGGTTTGACCCTGAGCTGCCATTTCTTCAAGGACGCGTAAGCATCTTGCCTCTGCGTCCGTAGCGGCTTTCAGTAACAACAACACAAGTTGGTCGCGCGCAAGGCCTTGTCTAAGCCCTGTGATCCTTGCCTCAATTAACTCAACAAGGAGGTAACCCTTGATATTGGTCTCTCCGGCATCAATAGCACGGAAGAGCCACTCTTTGGATTCCTTTACCACCGAAAGGAGATCCGCTCGTAAAAATACTGGGCCAAGGTTTTCTTCTTCTTGCAACTGAGTGCTTAATTCTGCTGCAATGGCAAGACTTGTCTGCATGCCAAGCACACGGAGATAACCAGTACCACAGATCGCAAACCTCTCCAAATCATTTCCATCGGTTGAAGTTGTAGCGTGACGATTGTGAGCCGCCATGATCGATGAGGATGGGTTCAATGTACACCATATCTTGAGCGACGTCTCAACCACTACCTTCCGAGCGTATGCATAGGCCGTTTCATGCGGTGCCATAGCAAAGAACGGGATATGGAGAGTTACAAGGTAGCGCAGCATCAGGCAATCCACCATCTGAATTGTAAACTGAGATGTGAATCCGGTGCCCGCATTATATTTATGAAGGGTCCGACACAGAGCTCTGTATGACGCTCTGAACTCTGCATCCAGTCGCAACGTTTCTTCGTATGTACTCTTAGAGCCGAGGTCATTCAAGAATTTCACGATCGCGAGGCGAAGAGGAAGAGTTTTACGGAGAGCTATCGGGATTGATACTTGAGTCAGTGTGTCTTCTGACTTCGGCACCGGGGCATCGGCCACAAGCTGGTCGTCATCATAGTTGTCGGGAGGCGCAGTGTCAAAATCGTCCAGAGATATAAACACGGGCGAACCACAAGCCATACTCGAATGTAGGGCCATTTCGAGTATCGTATTCCATAGCCGCCGGCGCATCTCGCTAACGAAGATTGTCCTATTTGATAAATAGGCCGGATCTCTATGAAGGCCCCAGTACACCGCAGTCCTCAGCAGGGCCCCTGCTGCAGTCCAGGTGGTGTCACCGCCCACATGTACCAATTCACGAGCAATTAACAGTAGGATATTGATTTGCAAATATTGAAGACTCCGCCTGGACTTGCAAACAGGCTCTGAGAACCACGTCTGTGCCTCATAAACCCACTGAATCGCCGAGGCACGTAGGGAGAACTTTTCATCGTATATAATAGCTCCGATAGCCAGCACTAATTTGACCTGAACCATAAATGCCGTGTCAGGTGCTGTATCTGACGCCCAGAGTGCCTCATAGTCCCTTCGAAAGGACGGAATATGAAGAACACGATAGACAGTTTCGGATGTCCTAAGGTAACAGTCAACGAGCTCATCGGCCACGTCTTTTGAAGGCAGGGCAGATGTTAAAGGCGACGGCCATGAAGGTGTCCGCCCCGATTTGATAACCCTCGCAAGGGATTTACACCTCTGCATGCCACACAAAACATCCGATGTTTCGTCACGTACGTGAGGCTCAAGCATCTCAAATACCTCGCGGCACTAATGAACTTCAGCATTTTGCTCCTTGGAGGTAAGCAACCTACAAGTACTTACTAGCCCAATCACACCATTGATCCAATGACTTTGACCGAACATGCGGGATTTATGTACGACACTGCGAGTGATGACTTGAGTTTCGCCGAATAAGTTGCTATCAACTTCGCACAGAGTCGAATCCAGGGCCCTTAGGTCGGCACGAGAAGTCTGATTAGAGGACTGAACATGCCTCTGGTTGGCTTTAGATAGCTGCTCCTCGAGGTTTTTGATTCTACTGTTCAGCGCCTCGATATCCCCAACAGAGGCTTGACTCTTAGGAGTTGTAGCATCTGTTGACCCGCGCACTATGGACTCATATGAATGACTTATCTCGGTTGATGGCCTGCTTACACAGGAAGATGCACTAGGAGCTGTTGGGGAGGGGACCCCTCGGGAATCCAGTGTAATTGTTTGGCCATAGTTAGTATGTAGCCGGGGGTGGTCAGAAGGGTGCGTTTCATAGATGCACGCCTCATTTTTAGAGCGCACACAGTTGTTACAGGGAGTCTTTCGATCGCATCGGATCTTTCGTCTCCTGCAAAGAGAGCATGAGCTGTATCTCTGCGGTCAGTGCGAAGGACGCGGATATCGAAGGGTTTTGTGACCTACACAGCCGGTCGTCTGCGCCGCCGTTCGGGGTCAGTCATGGTTAGCCCTTACGACCGTGTTAAAATCGGCCAAAACTAAGTAAACGTCACGCAGTTTACAGCGTATCTCCGAGATTATTTCATTCTGTTTGTCTGGAGAATAAGAAGATAAAAGGAGATGAGGGCAATACTGGTTTATGGAGGTCAGATTTTGCGCTTTTGGTCCTTTTCGCCTGCCATTTACCGACTCCGATGGCCGGCACCGGGCTTATCCCCGATCAGGATATGCCATTCAGTAGCAGCTTGAATAAGGCAGGATGAATATTTAGTCCTTCAAGGGATTATATATTAAGGCGTATTGCCTCTTAATATTAGCAAGGGCGCAAATATTACTTATACATTCTGCACTTTTGCCAATAATCAATCTCAGACTCCCGATTACAACATGACAAGATCACCCGAGCATACTATAGATCCACAAAAACACGAGGTCGACCAGGAGAAATCGCCCGTATTTTCGCATGATTACGAAAAAGCACCAGATGGCGGTGCCCGAGCATGGCTCGTGGCCGCAGGGGGCGCTTCACTCTTCTTCTGTTGTCTTGGCTTCGCGAATTCGTTTGGTACTTTCGAGGAGTACTACTTATCACACCAACTTCGCGGACAATCGCCAGACAACATTGCCTGGATAGGATCGCTAGCAGCATTCCTTCAATTCGCGACGGGCGCGATCGCAGGGCCATTATTCGATCGTTACGGCGCATGGGTATGTCAATTCGACTGTCACGACCTCTGCCATGAACTGACATCGGAGCAGATTATCCGGCCTGCTGCAGTCGCCTATGTTTTTGCCATGATGATGCTTAGTCTGTGCAAGACGTACTGGCAAACCATGCTCGTGCAGGGTGTATTGATGGGCGTAGTCACGGGCTTCCTTCAGTTTCCAGCATTTCCAGCGGTATCGCAATGGTTTGACAAGAAGCGAGCAGCCGCTCTAGGCATCGCTGCAGCTGGATCGTCTGTTGGCGGCATTGTGATTCCCATTGCATTGTCCAAAATGCTGAACGGCTCTTCTTTGGGATTTGGATGGTCTGTGCGAATTATCGGTTTCCTCATAATGCCCATCATGGCATTCGCGTGTCTTACCATCAAGCGCCGTCTGCCGCCGAGTACATCCCCCTTCTGGATTCCATCAGCATTGAAGGAGGCAAAGTTTGCCCTTCTGATAGTCTCATTGTTCTTCATGTTCATTGGCATGTTCTTTCCCCTGTTCTACATCCCTACATATGCAGTATCCAGAGGCATGAGTGCGACCCTTTCTGGATATTTGCTGGCGATTTTGAACGCGGCATCCACATTTGGCCGCATCATCCCAGGCATATTAGCCGATAAATTCGGCCGATTGAACGCGTTCATGGTCGGCGGTATAACCACAGGTATCGTTATATTCTGTTTCAATTTGGCAACAACCAACGCAGGCTTGATCGTATATTCGGTTGTCATTGGCTTTACTTCGGGAACCATCATCTCTGGAGCTTCCGCAGCCTTTACCCTCTGCCCTAAGGATCCCCGGGACATGGGGACTTACATGGGAATGGGCATGGCCCTCAGCTCTTTCGCAACTTTAATCGGCCCCCCGGTGAATGGAGCACTCGTCAAACACTACGGAGGGTACTCGGAGGCAAGCATATTCAGTGGTGTCATGTGTTTGGCTGGTGGGTTCTTTGCTTTGGCGACCAAAGCTATGACCCCTCAAGGTATTCTGGGACGAACCTGAGTTTCTGTTCACGATGGGTGTGTTAGACATTTTCTTGCTATTGTATCGGCGTGGGTGTTTTTCCAAGCGGTTTCATGTATATTATGTTTGTGAAAAGTAATGAATCACCACTTCGGAGTTCGCTTTCCATGGCTGATCGGTGCATGTATATTGCACACGATCAGGGTTTGTAGCGTAGAGGCATGTTGCGACTCCTATCCATGTCAGTCGAGCAATAATCATTTCCATGGATACACGAGTATTGTGCTGCCATCATAGTAAATCTTCATATGGCCGAGACGGGCTGCTCGTATGAAATGGTAATGCACATCGTTGCCAAAAATGTCAATATATACAAGTAGAGAAACTGACGCTATCTGCTCCATCATGCGACGCCAGTGGACGAGGCCCTATAGTGTCAAAGACCGAACACAATCTTTTGTCAAAAACCCAGTTTGAAATAAAAAATAACCAAGAAACGCCGGAATCCTTCCGCTAATGCAAATTTATACACACACTTTTGTCACACCACAAATTATAACAACTTCCTATCTCTCTTGGTGGGACTCGGCGTGCGCATGCGGCTTTCTCGAGTACGGCTGCGCTCGTTCACGAAGTCCCGAGTAGGCGAGTCTTCGAGCATCAAGGGTGTTTCTTTTTGATGATCAAGACTCGGTGCGTGGCTCTGGTAGTTAAATCCAACGGTGTGCTGGTAGGACGACTGGGAGGGGCCCAATGAAGGGTGGTGCTGTCCGGACGGTTGCCGAGAGAAGCTGGGGGCGGGAGGATGAGTATACTCGTGTTGATTGTAACGGTTTCTGAACGAGCGGAAGGACCAGTTGCTGACAACAGTGACTGTCGAAATGGTGGCGAGGAAGAACATCTGGAGAACATTAGTCACTGTAGCTTGCTTATGCGGAGTAAGTAAGAGAAGACATACAATCGCTTTCCAGCTAATCGGGTCGATAAAGCTGTTGATGATAATTGCCATGGTATGTGCCGACACCTTTGCCCGTCCAACCTTCGCCGGGTCCCTGTTCATGCAGCGTTCCCAATTTTCACAAACAGTCTCCAGGGCTGGAAGTCGATCGCCGCCGCCGCACTTGTTATCCACGTAGCTCTTCGCACATGTCGCCATTTCTGCTAATATCGTATCAGACACTTCTTCCGCCGCCTGCTCGAACTCCGCCCGAATAGCCGACACAAAACCAAACACCACATACACAGCGAGCGAGAACAGAGACAAGTTCACGATCAACTGAGCCCACCAAGACAAGATACTCGGGACGTTGGGGTGGGCCTCAAGCAAAGCGAAAAAATCCGAGAAAGAAGACATACGCGATGCCGGTTGAGCCTCCCCCTGCACGTGCCCCTGGTTCTGGTTCTGGTTCTGCTTGTTGCCTGATACGCGCTCATCGTCACTCTCATCGTCACTCTCCCTGCGAAACTGCATATCTAGTGCCTTATCCCTCCGCCTTCTCTTCTGTACCCGGCGAGCCAACGCATTGGAATAATGATTCAGACGAGGAATCTCGCCCCGTCCGGGACTAGGCGCAAAACGTCCGTACATGTTGAATAATGAATTTCGATGGCCCGACTTCATGGGCGGCTCCGGCGTATCCTCATTGTCCGCGTTCTCGGGAGACGACATATTTTCTGCGCCGGACGAGAAATCGACATCGAATTTGCGCGGGGTCATGAATGCGGACTGGCCAAAGAGGGATTTCGGGGTGCCAGGAGGGTCCTGCGAGCGCGGTTGGGAGAAGAGGAACGGCTGTGAATTAGGTTCGCGCAAGGCCGGTGTCTGTTTCTTTCCAGGAGACTCGAAGATGCGATGGGGTCCTGTGCGGAGTAAAATTAAATTAGCAATGATTATGACGGGCGGAGTGCATGGAGGCCGCACGTTTCTTCTGGTTGTCATGCTGCATGCTGAGCTGGTAGAAGGGCGAAGTCACATCCCCCGGCGCCCTTGTCTGCCACTCGAAGTCCATTGGACTTTCTGCGGATCGTTTGTCCATCTTGATTGATGGAAGAGAAAAAGTCCTAAACACAAAGCGCGTGTGAGGGGGAATGACAGCAAGGTCGAGAAAGATTTGGAGTACCTGATTGACATTCGTTCGATCGGCGAATTTTTGACCATTCCCGATCGGGGATGGTAAACAAATCTGGCCGCCCTAGTCGACTTACCCTAGCAACGGGTTCCCCCTCAGCTTCCATTACCCTTCTGCTTTGATTTATTTATTGGTTTCATTTTATTTTACTTTGTGTTATTTTCTTTCTATGCTCACCCAAATGAATTGTTGGACAGGCAAATAGCAATAGTTAGGGAGGGCAACAAAACAGGGCGGTGACTGGCGATATGCAGGGGCAGAACGCAATATATATTGCTCACGAAGTATAAATACGAAGGAGCCTCACCTATGACACAGACCCAATATTATTTCCTGGAACTACTATAGTACAATTAGTATGATCTGCCGTTGAGTCGGAAATTCATTGTTCAATCCAGCGCCTTTTTCCAAAGTCAGGCGAAGTTGGAAACCTTTACACTGTCTTTCCTTTGTTTTTCGAAAATATCCTACTTTATACGTGAGATCAGAAGGAATTAAAAACAAATGTTGATTTATTCAAAGTCAACACGTATCCACATGTATATCATATTGAGAACATCAAACCGAGGGTATGAGTATAAACAGTCTAATAATAGGACCCAAGTCGTAAACCATCATCACAGGTGTCAAAAGTACAAAAACAAAAGTCTCATGTAGAAGAACGACTGTACCGCAAAGATCATGAAACAGCCGCCGAAGCGAAAGGGCAAACAAATTCTAATCAACTCCATAACCGACACTCCTGGCACGAAGAAATATCGCAAGATAACACGAGAAAAGTATACAGTATCAGAACATTTACAGCCTTGCGTGATCATGGTCGACTAGCTCGAAATCATCATCGGCGAGATAGCCCGTAGCGATCTCACTCTCCCGAGTGATGATTTCGTATTCCTCGACAAGCTTCTCGGTTTCTTGTGTCTCGAATTTCTCTACGGCCTTGCTTATCGCATCAGAGAGGATTGTCTGTCCCGACACTTGGTATGGCTCTAACAGATCTTCCTCCTGAAGGTGTCCTAGAACATCCTTGGCGGCTGATGGTTCGTCAACGTCTTCCGCGGCGGAGGAGTCGGATGGGCCGCTGTCAAGGGCCTCCCGAATGTCATGTTGCAGGGTGAACTTGGCGGTGGTCGCCAGCTGGTTGGACTTGGCCTTTCGGTCGAGCTGCAAGAGACGGGAATACCTTCCCAGGGGGTCAATCTTAATGCATAGTTGGATGAGACTGTATGACAACATACTTCAGAGAGTGACTTTGAGGCGCCGCTGGACGAGTCACGGGGTCCGACAGAGAGACGTCACGATGTGGGAGTGCCGCTCGACCACCATAGGCCCATTTGGACTTGTGGTTATAGACCCTCTTGGCCGCGGTACCGTTATGACGAAGGTCGTTGGAGTCAGACATGATGACCGTGTGGTTCAATGAAATACAGATGACGGATAACGACGGTATGGGGGAAGAGACGTGAGTGATACGATCGGATGAGGTTGATATAAAGTGAGGCAGAGCAAACTGTCAAACGGGATGGTGGAGGTTGTTGCCGCCACTTAGCAGAAGAGGCAGGATCGAGATGGAAGGGATTATTAAGAGTCACAGGAAGCCCGGGGGGACCGGAGTGAGATGGAGAACAGGGACCCTGCGAGAGGAGGAAGCCTTGGGGGTTGAGTCACCAATGTCTGGGCTTAAACGGAGTCATGGAACAATCGATAGTCCCTGAATGGCCCGGCAATGTTGCTCATTCAACCCAAAAATAGACACAATAGACGCTGGGGAATGTGGAGCGACAGTAAGTCGTTGACTGATCTCTCTTCCTGAACGCGATAAAAGGAGAAGACGAAGAAGGAGAAGAAGCGGAGAAAGAGGAGATCGCATTCATATCATATCATATCGTATCATTTTGACTCCGCAGCACGAGGACCGAGCGAGGCGATGCTGACTACGGCAGTCATGCTCCGTGAGGAGATGATAAACGGCCATCCTATGACGATCGGCCTCCCTTATCGTGACTGCGAGGGGGAATCTTATTCCTGCTCGCCAAACGCCCCCTGACGCCACTTTGGAACCATGGTTGTTTCCTAGTACGTCCTGGATAACGGGGGGAAGACGACGAGTAGTAGTGGGATGGCGATCGCCGCATTAGGATTCGCCGTCAATCTGATCCACTGCCTCAGGCACAGCCAGCCACCCGGGATTGTGATTGGCCATCACGTCAGCACTACGCCTAGGAAATCCAAGGTTAAACAGTGGAAAGAGACGCCGACTGGGATGGATTATGACGTGAAGGGCGACAAGAAATAAATTCCGATCAAATATGTAAAATACCGGGAATAATATACTCTATATTGATAGGATTTTTCCACATTTTCTTTTTCGTTTTCACTTCTCTGGTATGCCCATAGAAGCCAGCCCTTCCGAACATAGCTTGCGTCACTGGAACTATTGATGCTTATCACCTGCGGGCGGTGATGCTCCATCTGATTGCAGGAACCCCAGGCAGATGACTTGGCTCGATCGGGCGGCTCATGGGAGTCACCTGCAGGGTTAGTCAACGTTTGACTTAACCTCGGTCCAGAACCTCCCGATGACTCAATCCTGCATAACCCTTGCCTGACTCAGCTATGCCTTGGTATGTACATAATTGGTTGCCCCGAGCTGGCCTGAGTCAGCGATTCACATACCACCTTCCTATTTTGGTAGTATAGTACAGTGGCATCAAAACAGGTCACCTTGCTGATTCAAGGCAAATTGGGGAAAGCGCCCTTGAAAAACTTGGGACAGCGCTAGAATCCTTGAGTTCGGTATGTTCCCTTGATGTGTGTTCACCTAGAACCTGATATGCAGTCATCAGTCATCAGTCCGCGAAAAGAAAGAGTAGAGATTCTCCAAATAACGACTATACTGTACATCGAAGTTCCTATCTCACACTATATTCATGTTTCCATCATACCTCTCACAACCTGTTCAGTATGATTGTCCGTAAAAGTAAAGTGACTGTAACCCTTCCACTCGGTTAAAACCGATCCCTCGATCCTATCCGCCATCCACCGAGCCATTTGAATCGGCGTATGCTGGTCATTATCACCGTACCACAGCCGAATCCCAGGGAACCCAATCTCTCGTAAGTCAAAGCCCCACGGCCTTGTAAGGATCTTACACTCCTGAACATACCCTTGAGACCCCTGTACAAAACTCTCCCGTACAATCTTCGCTGTATGTTGGAGGATCTTCTCATCCTCAAAGACCGACGAATCCGTTTCGTTGAAATGATTCTTCACCGTTTTCACTAGTAGCTCCTCAAGGACCTTCGGGTCTGGATGGTGAGCAGCCGGTACAATAGTCCAATCAGTGTACAGTCGCCCCAGACCTGAGAACCATCTCCCCAGGTTCCATAGGACTCGTGAACGGAGAGACATTCCCTGTGTGCCGGCCTCAAAGGGCGCAAATCCGACGAGTACCCCTACCCCTTTCAGGTTTTCTTTAGGTAAGGCCCTTGCACATACAAGTGAGTACGGACCTCCACCGGAGCCACCAAGAACCCGATATTCGTTTAGACCCAGTTTGCCTGTGAACTCTTTGACGTCGGCGGGCCAGTCAAGGAGTTGTCGGTTTGGTTGAAACGTTGACAGCCCCATTCCAGGTCGGTCTAGGGCGAAGATTCGGGCACCATGCCGGAGGCCCAGTTCGTGGAAGTTGATCTCATAGCGACATGCTGGTAAACCGTGGAAGTAGAGAAGCGGCTTTCCTCGTGGGGAGCCGTATTCGGCGAAACCGAGGGTGCGGCCGTCAGAGAGGGTCAGGGTTTGATCTAGTTGTGCGGGGTTTACTGTTGTTGACGATGTGTTGCAAGATTTTGGAGGTGTAACATGGTTTGACCTCTTGGGAGAGATAGTGGATGAGCCCCTCGCTGAAGCTGATGAAAGGAAGCCCTCTGTTGCCGATGTTAAACGACGGTATCCGATGGACATGTTTCTTGATATGCTGGAAGGTACTGTCTGATGGCCTTGAACTTACGTGGCGGTTAGCTTGTCTTTATATCCAAGGTTAGTTCAAAGATCCCCAACCAGCCTATTTTACTAATTTTATCTATTTTACGTTGCTTACGATGATCGTCGAGGAATACGAACCGCCCGGCGATGGGGTCATCTGACTATTCCCTTCATGTAAAATCCATAAGTATTTCTCTCATTTAACTCATACCTCAAATCTCAAATAATCTAAGCAACATTGGAAACCCCAGAATAAGCCTTCACTTGACCTTGTTCAGACAGACGGTCATGGCACCGACCTCTGCACGAAGTCTTTTGCTTCTATGTGCAACTCGCCGAAATGGTATTCTCCTCACTCCGAGATTACCACGCCCCTTCACATATCGAGAATCTTCAGTCCCTCTCAGATCCTTCTCGACCCGTATCGCTCTCGCGAACAAGCAGACAAGCTCATCAAAGCCGGGCTCGAACGAACCACCTCAGTACCCGACATTCGGCTTTGAAGCGCTGGGGATGAGCAAAGGAACGAAAGCATTTGTCATTGCAATCCTGTGTTGTTTTGGAACCATGGAGACCTGGTTCTGGTGCAAGGCTATTTGGCGTTGGTGGAAGGGAAAGACCGAAGAGGTGGAGCCGATACAGGCAACGAAGTAAACTAGCGTGGCACTAGAGCTGAGACAGGGCCCTATTGAGCCCATGATTTCCCTCATTTTGTATTGTTATTCGTTGGCTAGGGAGTAGTATCACCACTCTAGATGATGGGTGGTGGAATGGATTGTCACTGGCACTACCTAATTAGGAAACAATTTGGCCAAGACTGATGGAGCTAAAAACGGCGCAAACCTCAGGCTAAAATAACAGCATAAACTCATTGGCTAGAAAACGCCACGACGTAGTACTAAGGAAGTGCTGAGTTTGCACAGTATGCGATTGTCACCTTTGACTCCTCGGACGTCATTGCCAGAACCCTTATCGCCATATGCATCGTCACCCGAATACTTGCCCGAGATCCAGTTCCTCCGCTAATTCCGACACGCTCTCGCTCTCAGAACGCTCCGGAGCTTGGCCCAATCCCAACGATTATGCATTCGTTCATTTCCCATGTGATAAGCCACTCGCCCTGTTGCGGACCAGTATACGATAGTACAAGACATACAGCCACCAATGGGCAAGAATTTGATTCATACTATGGCCGTAGAATCACAGGATGATGCTACTTATAAACGGACTACCAGACTATCATGTCCGGCCAAAGTTTTGAATCTGTACCAACTCGTAGTATCGCCCTCGCAATTCCAGTAGTGACTGGTGATTGCCCTGTTCAACAATGCGTCCCCGCTCGAGCACTACATGCTTGTTAGGATAGAATGAAAATGGATGTCAGGGATAATGGCGAACTTGCCGTATATACAGTCAGCGTTTTGAACCGTACTAATCCGATGTGCCACCGCAACGGTGGTACGGCCCCGGGTAGCCGCATCCAATGCTTCTTGAACTATCTTCTCAGACTCTGAATCGAGTGCAGATGTCGCCTCGTCGAGCAAGAGGATCCGTGGGTTTCGAAGCAAAGCTCTCGCAATGGCTATCCGCTGCTTTTGTCCACCGGAGAGCATTGCTCCGCGAGCTCCGACAATAGTTGCGAAGCCATCACTAAATTTCTCGGATCAGTATCCATGTATACAGTGGGTAAATCAAGTAGGTAGGTGCATACGGCAGTGAACACACGAAGTCGTAGATATTCGCATCCTTGCAGGCCTGTACAATGGCCGCATCCGACACCTCACCTTCCGCTCCAAGGAGGATATTGTCACGGATCGTTCCATCATAGAGAGCTGGGTTCTGTCCAACTAGTGCGAGATGGCCCCGATAGTCTCTCAAATTCCATGCCTTTACATCGATATCATCGACCATGACCATCCCAGATTCTGGGTCGTAAAATCGCTCTATAAGGGAAACAATAGTGCTCTTACCGCTACCGCTTTCTCCAACCAAGGCAACGTACTGTCCAGGCTGAACGGCCAAGTTAACGTCCTCAAGTATGAGATGCTCCGGACGGTTGGGATAACGGAACGAGACGTTCTGAAATTCAATAGAGCCGCCAATGCGAGAGACAGAAATGCCCCCTTCTTGTCGAGCATCGATCCGTACGGGTCTGTCAAAGAGACGCTTCATATCCTGGGCTCCAGACTTTGCTTTTCCAATATCAGGAGCAAACGAAAATACGGCACCAGCAGAATATGCACCCACAATGATGGTCGTGTAGCATACAAAGAACTGAAACATGCTGTAGTGGTCAGTTGATATAAGCCTGCTGCCGTACCAGAATGCCAGGGCAGCACACAAGAAATTCAACGACTGTGATGCGGCATATAGAATCGAAGATTGCGAAATTTGTAAAAGAGACTTTCGGCGCTGTTCCTCCAGTATATCATGGTATTTGCCCTGAACGAACCGCTCTAGGCTAAGCGCTGCCACTGTTCGAATACCTGTGCTGTATTCGCGTGCATAGGCAGCGGAAGCGTCAGAGACCTTTTTCGAATGACCCTCTAGTATCGCGACACATTTGAGACGAAGAATTCCACACCCCAGCTGGATGGGGATTGTGCATGTGCATACAAGTGCGAGCTTCCAGCCAATTGCTACCGCAAGTACAAATCCGGCAATTAGGGTCGTTAGAATGATAAGAAGCGTCCCCAGCGTGACACCACTTAGGCCTTGGATTTGAGTAGCACTGGTTGACAGTAATGTCGTAAATCTGGATGAGGAGGACTCTGGCAGGAAGAACTGTCCTATATCTTGATGTACGATGGTATCTAATCCCTTTTTGCGTGCGGTATATATCAACCGCTGGGAATAGTATGCAAAGCATACCCCTTGGCCAAGCCAGCCAATCACTGTGGTGAACCCGATCATGAGGTACATCCAGCACCAGTAGTTGACGTTGTGCCTAAGGACGTTGTACATAGATGACTTGAGTGAGAGTGCCTCAATGATTTTGGCTAGGAATATCGCCTGGCTGAATGGGTCAGTTAGCCTGGAGAACAAGGGCTGGATGAATGGGTTGACATACGTGGGATGACTTGCTCCGGCAATGAGTGAGAAAAATAAACCACCAATGATCGGATATACGCCATCTTTATGCAGTTGGAAGACAAATTTGATCAGTGCCCATGTCGAGTCCTTGCGAATGATGTCGTGGCTTTGGTGCACAGTTGCTTTTTCGCTGTTAGTAAGGGGAGTAGTTTGACCTTTCCCATTTTTGATGTCCACCAAGTCATTGGGGTCCTGGTCCTGAAGGCCCACGTCATCATGTTGGGCTATGGAGGCTACCCTTTTAGCTTGGATAGTTTGTTGCTTAACCAATTCCTGGTAGACAGACTGTTTTGCGAGGAGTTCATGGTGAGTGCCTTGCTCAACCACACGCCCTGCTGACATAACGACAATATTGTCGGCAGCCGTAATAGTGGACAAACTGAAAGGGGGTTATGATCGATTATATGGAACACCTGTCACTGGGCATTAGACGTACCGGTGCGCAATCACAATAGTAGTTCGGCCTCGGGCGGCATGGTCCAAGGCCTTCTGTACAGCACGCTCCGCCTTGACATCTAATGCGGAAGTTGCTTCATCCAGGAGTAGTATTCGAGGTTCGCCAACAATTGCTCTTGCAATAGCAATCCGCTGCTTCTGACCCCCGGATAAGAGCCCACCCTGATCTCCAACATGGGTCTGAAAACCGTCAGGTAGAGCCATGATGAAGTCATAAGCATTGGCTGTTTTTGTGGATTGTTCGATGAGATGTTCAATTTCTTTCAATGATGCATGCTCGTACTGGGTACCAATAAGACCGTAACGTATATTCTCGAATATTGTTGTGGAAAATAGGGTGGGCTCCTGGCTGACAAGCCCTATTTGCTGCCGCAGCCATGAGACGTTCAAGTCAGTTATGTTATGGCCATCGAGATCTATGACAGGCTGTGAGCAAACAAGCTTCCGGTTTAAAACGGAGATCGATATCACCTACATATGGTGCCACTTATAGGGTCATATAATCGTTCCAAAAGCCCTACAATCGTGCTCTTTCCGCATCCTGAAGGGCCTACAAGAGCTGTCATCTTCCCCGCGGGAAAATGGAGATTAAGACCATCCAAGACTAATACACCGGGGCGTGAAGGATAGACATGCCGGATACTCCTAAGCTCGATCGTCCCTTCGACTACTGATAGTTTCTCACCCGTTGATTGGCTAGAATCAATGGGTGATGTACGACATATTGCCTGTGATATTTTGCTTGTGGCTGTTACGCCACTGACGAAGGCTTGAGTATGTGGACTCACATTCCCCAGCGCAAAGGCCCCTGTAATAGTGGCGAACAGTATAGTAATGATTGCCGACAGAGAGATCTGATCGTTAACCATCCATCGTGAGCCCTGCCAGAAGGCGAGACCGTAGCTCCAGAAAATAACCCCATTCATGATGGCTATCATCACCGCTAATGCAACTCCACTATGAAGACCTGATAGGCGAGCAGCAGCAATATGCTTCTTATATTCATTGACCAATCTTTGTTGCATACCGAATGCTGTGACTGTTTCGATTGAGCTGATGGCCTCTTCGGCAACACTTGCGCCCCGACTGTATGCGCCGAGAGCACGCTTGGTGTATTTCACCATGCACGCTGCACCCACAGTCATGGATCCGACAATGAGCACTAGGGCTGGTAGCAATACTAGCGCCAGTCGCCAGCTTTTCGCAAAGCTAATGATGAAAGCGGAAACGAATGTGGCGATTGCGGAGAGCGTCAGAGAGGCTTTGCCAGTAATCGCATCCTGTATCAGGTTTGTGTCAATGGTAAGACGATTATTGATCTCGCTGACCCCGATACACTCAAAGTAGGCAATGTTTTGTCGGAATATCGCTGCCATGTACTTCTCCCGGATCTGCTGGGCGATTCGCTCACCCACCATGGTGAAGCCAACTGTCGCAATATAGATGGCGACGAACTCGCCCACCGCTACATAGACATAGAAAAGGCATATTTGATGGACTTGGGAGTTGAATTCCTTAAGGTCTGTGTCCCCAATGAAATAGCCACGAAATGACTGACCCATGCTACCTAGGAGAAGCTTTATAATCGATCAACAAAGCTCAACATTTGCCGGCTTTCAGAAGACGCAACAAGAAAACCAAAAGAGTTAAACTTACCATTGCTAACGGCGTCCCGACACCCCCCACTATCGCCGCAATAGAACTAATCATGAGAATGACTCCATCTACCTTAGTCGTACAGCTCAACAAAAACCGAGCCGGACCGAGGTAGGTGGTGGGCCCTGCAGTTTGTCGATCTAGCACGGTCTTTTCATCTTCATATAGGTCAAGGCCAGTGTGGGACGCTTGACTGCACTTTTCGTCCTCAACATGAGTAGGGGCGCGAGGGCTCTCAGTACTCCTATCGGCCATGATGCCCCTGGTGCAACTCGTGAAGTGGAGAGAATGTGAGGAAGGCGACTGGTAAAAAGAGCATTCTTGACCGACGCCAGAGCTATTGTAGCTGTTGATATTTTAGCTACAGCGCCAAGCAAGTGTCGGGCATACCGAATCTGGCCTGGACCGGTCAGGCAACTGGCCCTAATTATTGCGCCATGTAACCCCATGCATACGGTTATCATAATGACTCATTACAAGAAAGTGGCTATAACCAGTTTAATAGCCCTAATGTATTAGCGTTGGCGCTGGGCCAAAGCTCCTAACCATTTCTAACACAGTCGTACACTATCACAACTTCACCTCAGATGGCAATATAGAAGATAACCAAATTTTTACGCCAAACTGCGCTCTTGGAAGCGAACCATTAATGCAGGTTTCCACCACATAACATGCAGCCGACTATCTCCCTCCCAGTCTAGAGCCGGATTTACCAGCGAGAGATGGTATTTCCACATTATCTTAGCTAGAATTAAATTGATTTCCATGTATGCGAAACTAGGGATATCAAATGTCAGTTTGATTCGCTCTTAAATCCTACACGCCCACATTAATAGTGCTGGAAACTTACTTCTGGCCTAAACAGCCCCGTGGTCCCATGGAGAATGGCTGACTAGCCTCTTTCACATCGGTTGATTCGGGATCCAGCCAACGCTCTGGCTTGAAACACATGGGCTCGGAAAAATATTCTTCGCTGTGGGTGACTGTCCATGCACTTGTGTAAATCTCCGCCTTCGAGAGATTACATGTCAGTATCGAACGCATTTGATCCAGAGTAGCATCGAAACCAACTTACACCGCGTGGAACGTAGTATTGACCCACGTGCATTCCTGGCGACAGCCTCGGAAATCCCTGTGAACCAGGTGCGTAGATCCTCAGGCCTTCATTGATCACTGCTTGCAAATATGGAAGCTGCCGTGCTGCAGTAGCCGTGATCTCACCGTATGAACCGAATCGATTGGTAATCTCTTGTTGTAGCCTTTGATAGCACTCTGGGTTTTGAAGGAGGTAGTATGTGGCCGCTGCTAGGAAAGTAGCAACCGTCTCGCCGCCAGCAATTCTGCATTTTAATTCTCGTCAGTATCCTTGGCCCATTTCACTTTTGTGGTATATGTAATGTAACTATAGGGTAACGAACGTCAATGTTGAGACATGGGCTGTCATTTCTTCCTTGCCGATATTGCCTTGCTTATACTCGCTGACGACCGTGGATAAGAAGTCTTTTCGCGTTGAGCTCTTTTCCAACCGTCTATGTCATTCAGTCAGCTCCAGTCACTAACTAAGTCAACATCCAAGAAAGAAATAGAAGACTCACTCCCTGACCTTTTGCCGACTATATTGAGAGTTCTTGTTACGGACAGCCACGGTAGAGGGCCACAGCAACCTAGCCAAAGGCACAACAAGTGGCAAACGACGCAGATTATCAATCAGCGTAATGAAGTAAAGATGGCTAACGATTATCTCAGACCAGAAATGTAGTTTCCCTTGGTGGAATAAGTAAGACATCACCAAAATGGCACAGAAAATATGAGAATGACCAACCAGAGCGAACACTTTGAAACGACTGGCCGAACGCCATTTCCCCCAAGATGTCGAATGCGACCATCTCATACCACTTGGTCATATTTAACCCTGGGGAATCTGGACCACCGTCGCGTCCAATGCGCCCAATGAACTCGTCCACCGCCTTGGAAATGATATCTTCTTGCTCCACCAACGACTTCGTCGCAAAGGCAGCAGAGAGCATCTTGCGCATTTTACCGTGTTTCGTGGGGTCGCGTTCACTACCAATACAGAGCGAGCTGAAACCTGCACCATATATGTCGTAGAACTCGCTTTTGATTGGAGTCGGTAGACCAGAGGCTCTATGGCCATAAATGGCTTTCCATGACTCGACGGATGAGAAGTAGAGCTCATTTGGAGATATCCGAACCACGGGACCTGGTTTTAAGACTTTAATATACAGACTTGCTAGGTGGAGTTGCGATCTGCCATATACATACCGTATTTGCGGTGTAGGTCGGCAATGGCCAAGTGAATTCGGCCACGTTGAGTGTGGTATATGCGCCATAACTGCATATCTATCAGCATTTCACTCAATAAGGGACGCCATGGAAGGAGGTTCTCACCAAACTGGCTCTTCCTAACAGGGGACCGGGAAAGTAGGAGAGCTTGTGAAAGAACAAATTGTAAATAATTGACGAGAGTCCATACACAACGATGAACTTTCGGGCCAAGTTGACTCGATGTTAGTGTCCCTTTTAAAAGATCACCATATGGAAAGCCATGAAAGAACTCACCGCACTTAGAGCAAGATAGATGGTTGTTGCATCTACGGTGCTCGTAGGGCTAGGGATGGGCCCTGACGGGTGGTCTCTAATTTGTGAGTACATTATATGCACATGTGTCATGTATCCACAAGTCAGTATAATGTAGACTATATCTTTCTTTGCTTTTTGGTGTTTAACAAGAATTCTTGCATCATAAGAACTTCTTGGTAGCTCATTATGTCGACCATTGGTTTTGCTTGTATAACGACCAAATTGGAATCCCCGATGGCTGCTGGCGAATCACAAATTCTCTTGTCCATACTTTATTCTTTGGTACCTCTGACTACTCACCTACGATATTCAATTAGTTAAGGCTGAGAAACTGCCGCGTGTTAGCTTTGAGATATCCTGCTAGACAACCGGCAACCTCCGTCTAAATTCACACATCGCCGGCCTCTTGGCTTACACTAAGTTACGGTACGCGTAGAGGGGGATATGATCGGACAATACCTAAAAGGGTAATACCCGATGAGGTTGGCCCTTTGCTCGGACCTCACGGTATTGTTCACCTGTATGGGCTAGTATTTTAGCCTTTTAGTAAAACTATGTTATAGTATTTTATTTTTTGAGTCGAGCCCACACACTTATAGCAAAAGGGTCTTTACCTAAGTGCCATTGGAGATTCTTGGACTAGGAGCAGAGCTTCTAAGTACTATATAAATATTATTCTATAGTAGTAGGCTATGTAAAAATGAATTGTTGTATACATATTCTGGGCCGCACGAGAGGTATAACTTGTAAGCCCAAGTTCTGAAGCAGTTACTCCGGTTGACCTCGGTGGTTTCGCTAGAAAGGCCCTAGTAGATGGGTTAATATCCCAGCGCAGTAATGTTAGGAACCTCTGGAAGAGACGCCAAGGCTCCGTAGTAAGTTCTATATTAAATTCTGTACCGAAGAGAACACGGCGTACGTGTTTAACTAGACAGGTGAGATAGCTTTAGCGCTGGGCGGGCGTATCCGAAGAAGGGATTTCCAGATTGGGCCACTGGCGCTCTATTTTCCGTTGCCGAGCATTGATTTGTCCGGTCTGTAGAAGATCTAAGCCGTTGATTCTTTCAGAGCCCACCAGCGAAGCCACTGTGCTTAACCTTGTGCACGTCCGGTCTGTTCTAGGCCGGTCCTAAGAGATCCTATTGCGCATGTTGCGGGAAATAAGCTAAACTCTGTACTGGTGGAAATACGAACAAAAGTCATGAATTCAACTTCATGATTTATGTAACTGCATTTATGGCAGATTCGACAATAGATTCATTGGCTTTAAACAAGGCGCATTGTGAAGTCATTCAGTACATTCTAACAGTAATTGAATAAAAAAAATATAGAAAGTCCATCATGAAAGCTTGCTAGAGGACACTAGGTCGCACTAGGCGAATTGTACCGTAACGTAGTCACACTCCACAGCTCATTGCCGGACATTTGGTATTCCAATCCCTTAATATATGCAAGTAGACTCTCACTCGCTGGAAGGTCGACATCAGCCTGTGCTTGTTCCACAAGGAGCACATGCTGATGCTCCCATTCCCGGCACATAACCCACAAAACACGCTTGCAGGCTTCGTAGGGAAGAGAAGTCTCATCCGACAGAACTTGCACAGCGGAGCAAATGGCTGAGCCTTCGGGGTGGCCGGATTGATAGGCGAGGTATTCCTTGTCCCAGCTCATGATATCGTTAAGAACAGAGAGATGCTTAGCACAGTTCTGTTCGAGTGGTTGGACAAAAGAAAGTTCTTGATGGGTGACATGAAGCTCCATTGAGAATCGCATCAGGGAACAGAGCAGGCTATGATAGTGTCAATGATGGTTTCAGGTTTGAAGGGGTAAGGGAAACTTACGCTTTGCCCACGTCCTTCTCTCGATAGATCAGGTAAGGTCCCATCTCCTTTATGGTGAGCCGGGCCTTGTCTGTCTGAGCGCGCATGAAAGTGAACACAGGCTCGAGGATATCATCAGCAAGGACTTTGTCGTGTGCCCGCATGCTGTCCCACAGATCGTACATGATCCACTCTACGGGGACCGTTCGGTCGGGCAGTACATCCCCGCGCGCAATGGGGATGAGTTTCTCATTATAGGCAGAGCCGTCCTCAAAAGACATGTCCTCCAAAAGATCTAGTCAGATATTAGTATTTTCTAGAGAAAGATGATTCACTCTGCGGGGATCAAGGTTGGAAGGCCCTATTCGCACTATGCGCTGGATATACATACCGTCAATCAGGAATAGCAAGGTCAAAAGCCGGCATGCAAAATGGATTCTATCATCTTTTGCCATGGGAAAGTAGAGGCATGTAACGCGGGAGAATCCCGCAGCAACGAATTTCTTTCTCTCACGATCACTTCTGAAAGGCCAGTGAGCAAGGAAAAAGCCGTTCACTTCCTCCGAGACAACTCCTTCGAGGGGATGACACTTAGGCTCAAACCGCCCTTTGGGAGGAGTATACTTCTCCACCACCGGCCTTACAGCGGGAGCTCTTGGGGAACCATAGTTCTTTCCTAGGAAGACCTTGCTGTGGAAGGAGGTAGGCTCCTGGCTATCGATGAGTGCTGGTGCCATTCTGTCAAAAGAGGTGATGATGTGAATAGTATGTTGCATAAAATCGAACTACATTTAACAGCTTCCCACGGGGATTAAATATTCTTCAATTGGCATAGTTGGCTGCAGCTTATGTTCCTTAGTTTGTGCTGTTAACCGTGAGCAAATTCGATGGCCTCCGGGGCATCGGATTGACCGCGTTTGGCTACCCCGATATCTCGCCTTTGTCAAATATATTTCTCCATCTGGATAATAGCAAGGACGGAGACCATCCGTTGGCCGCATGTTGGCTACCACTCTTTTCTAGTATCGCAGCCTGTGAAGATACATACGTCTTACCTGTTCAGCCATACGAACAGTTATCTCTACATTCCTCGCACCCATGAGTTCCCTTTCAATCTATGAAGATGATATCCCTTCCTTGTACGGAAAGCGGGTGATCATCACTGGAGCATCCTCAGGTATTGGTCAGGCGGCGGCCGCGATATTTGCACAGAAGGGCGCTTCAGTGCTCAACCTCGATGTCAACCCCCCGGAGGGCAGGCCACATGAAAGGGTCGAGTACCGACAATGCGACGTGTCTGACTGGGATAGTCTCCGGTCAGCATTTCAGAGCGCGGGTGATATTGATATCGCAGTTTCCAATGCAGGTGTCTCCGAAGAGACCGATTATTTTGCCGACACATTCGATATGGCTACGGGGGATTTGCTTGAGCCTCAATACCGGGTTTTGGATGTCAACCTGCGGGCCGTGCTGAATTTCACCAAGCTGGCGATCAGTCATTTTCGTGGACGCAAGCACGCAGGAAGCATCGTCATCACCTCGAGCGCCACTGCATATGCGCCGGAACAGTCGCTGCCCGTGTACAGTGCAGCCAAATTGGCGGTAGGAATGCGGAAATGAAATTGAATTTTTGAAAACCAAACACTGACTTCCTGCTTCTTTATATGTACATTAGTTGATCGGCCTTGTTCGTTCCCTGCGATCTGCTCTCCTCTTGGATAGCATTACAGTCAATGCCATTGCGCCGGCCGCAACCATCACCAACTTGCTCCCTAAGCATCTCGCCGCACCTATCATCGCGTCTGGTCTGCCGGTCAGTTCGGCTGAATTCGTGGGCTTAGCCGTCGTTTATTCTGCAGTGGCATCCCAATCGCATCCGGTCGAACTGTACGGAAAGGACAATGGCAGTTCCGGTCAAAGCCCTTCGCGGTGGAACGGACGTACTATTCTTACACTGGGAGCTGAGTACACCGAGCTGGAAGAGCCCATCGCTGCCCTCCGGCCACAATGGTTCGGGGCGAAAAACACTGAGTTGACACGGCTCCAGCAAGCCGCGACGGACTTCCGGACATTCGTCTAAGCCTCAGACCTGGGCACAAATGAGGAGAAACCAAAAAGAAATAAGAGGAGGTGGGGTAATGAGGAGAATTCGATCCATTCGCAAATTTTAGCAATCATTAGCACCAGTCTAAAGCTTGTGTCAACTATGAATACGGTCGATCTGACGGGGATATTGGAGGAATCACCAGGTAGACCCTAAATATCCCCTTTATGGTATCTATTTTTTGGGCTACTACTACTACTCTGGGATGGTGCGGTCGGAGTGGTGGGTAGTATGTTTGCCAATCAATTTGACACTTATTATTCTGCCAATTGCTATAGAATGGCTGCTCTATGAGGTGACTCAGACATATCCAAAATCTCAGCTATTATGCAGACACCTAGGGGGCCTGGCATCAACCTGTAGTTAAATCGCCTAGAAAAGGTTAAGATAGTCGGTTAGTGTGAGGGCCGCAGACCTCAAGATTCATCCCTACCTTTCTCAGAAGCGGTATGGGCGGTGAGGCTCCGGATGTTTGGACCCATTTAAATGCCAGATCCCACAGTTACTCCGTATTATAATATGCACATAAAAGACTAGCTAACTAACTAGACACTACGTGCCCTCCGGCCTGTCTTGGCATTTCCTATCGCCGCTTGATAAGTCCTCTCGATTGCCCAATCCGAGCCAATTTAAGGCCGGCGGGATTGATGAGAGTTGGTTCTTGGCTGTAACGCTGCGGCCCCGCGTAGCAAGTTTAAGATAGTATGGCTTTGGCTCTTGATTTTTGGCCCCCTCGTTATTCTTGGGGGGGATGCGGGGCGAGGTAGGGAGTCGTTACTTTTTAAAGATACCCTTGTCAGGCCCTCGGCACTGGAGCATCCTATGCTATTGACACTTTCGTTGTCTGTTTGCCATGTTCATGACTTTGCGCTGCGGGCGCGATGATGGCGACGGCATCCAATATCTGGAGACGAGCAATCGACCGGCTCGGCACGACAAGAGCCTATCGACCTCGGCTTGCGTCACTTGTCGTCAAAAGAAGGTATGTGCCTTGTTCCTCCGACCGTGAGATGTTCCCGGCCGGTGATAAACGTTGAGTAGGGGGGGTTCTAACCCCAGATGGTTAAAATATAGCTCGGATGTAGTCGTGAGAAAACAGGTTGTCGACGGTGTCAGAGCCAAAAGTTGAAATGCGTATATACGACATCGGAGAAGATGCGGGGCAAGAAGTCTCAACGGCAATCACAGCAAACAAACGTGGAGGTTAACGATGAGCCATTCCCGGACATGGAACTCGTCCCTGCTCCAGTGCAAGAGGATGAAATGGATATCTCAGAGCATTCGTTGAGTTCCGCGGGACCTCAGCGACCGTCAGCAGCAGGGGCTCTGCCCAACTTTGAGCAATTGGATGGGGTGTATGTGAGCAGCGGTCAACCAGAGCAACTGGGCTTCTTGGGGGCTAATCAAGCCAGTGCCACCAAGTCAAGCACATCTTCCGCAACTGATCATGCGGCGATCGTAGCGTCGGGGCCTCCGCGATCAGAAGGACCCGAGTTAGAGTTGTCAGACGGAACCTTGCCGAGTTTCGAAATGTCTTCCTCAGACGAGTATTCGTCAACATTGAGCGACGACTTCTTCACAGAATTGTTGGAACCGTTTAGCGTTAACGAGGAGGAATTATCCAGTTCCCATGGAGCAGGTGAGTGGGTGCAAGTCGAGGGACTGCAAAAATGCAAGAAAACAACCACCTACTAACACCTGGATGCATGGATCAAACAGGAAATCAATTCAGCTTCAACGACCTTGATCCACTTCCCGCGCATTTCTCCTCCCTAGATCCCACCATGAACCCTCACTCCATGATCCACGACGGCTCTGCTCAAGAATGCTCCATAAATTCGCTTAACAGGGGTTCTCCGCAGGGAGCCATGGATCTGACCGCTACAAACAACTGTGAATGCACAGGAACTGCGCTGCGCATCCTGGAAATGGTAGTGGTGCCAGTGAAGGGATCAGATTGGAGTTCAACGGAGCAAAAGCTATACTACTTGAAGCGTAACATCACTCAGTGTATTGCACTGTCCGGATGTGATAGCTGTACACAGGATTCAGGATATGCTATGTTGGTGCTGGTTGTATACGAAAAGATTATGATTACCCTCGAAGAGGTGGTCAGTTGGTGGAAAAGACACCTAGATAACCCTGTGCGAGTGGCAAACAGTGACTCTAAGCGTGGCAGGGGCTTTCCCCATGAACTGCGCAAATCGGTACACCTGCGCACTGGCATTGGGGCACAGCAGCCGCACATGTCAATTGGGCCTTATCAGATTGACACGATGGAAGAACACTCCAATGTGCTGGGGACACTGATTCTACTGCAGCTCCGTCGCGTGGTGCCTCTTGTGATGACCATGAAGCGCTGTATCACGAGTGCCAAGTGGGAGGCGCATTTAGAGCTGTTGAAGATACTGAACTATAGGATCAGGCAGCTCCAAGCGACCCTGCAAGGGTGAAGCCTCTGCAGACTACACGAGCAGACTATGACGTTACGCAACGATATAAGCGATCCATTTCCTTTGAGCGTTCTGAGCCTACACATATCCGGTATATTTCCCTTTTGTAAAGCGCAATACCAATTCTATATTTTAATATAATTCTGCTACTACTTTGCTTGTGATCCTTTCCATTAAGAGCCACCCCGGCGCTAGATGTTTCCAAATGTAATACGCTCCATAGCACTTGGCTTCCTATGCCCTGCCCCGATCTATCATTCTCCGAGCGGACATTACTCGATTAAGTGACACCGACAAACGGCTGAAACTCTGCCCGATTGAGTTGAGTGTATCATGAATATTGTGGACCAGAACAAATTGTTGTACTCATGAGTAGGCTACACATTGTCACAGCTATCTGCTACCTTCCCGTTTACATCTCGAAGGCAATCCTCAGGTATGGCCGCGCAGGCTCGTGATAGATCCTCGATAATATCGACGATATCCTCCGTTCCTACCGAAAGTCGGATTAGATCCTACAAATATTAAACTCGTTAGAATACTGTAGGCAAGCATGCGCAATTAGAGTACAGTTTAGATACATACCTCTGTAATTCCTGCGTTGGTGCGGTCTTGCTCGCTCATAATAGAATGAGTAGAGCTCCAGGGGTGTGTTGCCATGGTCTTGCAATCACCGACACTGTGATAGTTGCAAGTTAGGAAGACATCGACATAAAAGACTGAGGGGAAAGAGAGAAGACCGACTTTGTCATGTTTGAGACCAATCGAAGGGCGTCCACAAAGGCCTTGCTACCAATCGTGCCCCCCTTGACGCCAAACGATAGAACGCCTCCAAAGCCACGACGGAGGTATTTTTTGGCAACATTATGGTACTTATCTCCTGGCAGTCCCGGGTAGCTTACCCATTGAATGCGCGGGTGCTTCTCCAGAAACTCTGCCGTCCGCAGGGCATTCGCGGCGATACGATCACATCGGAGACTGAGTGTCTCAATACCTAAAAGGATCTGCTGCGCAGCGAATGGGTTCATTACAGACCCGACTTCCATCACTACTTCAATGCGAAGGGCGATCGCAAAAGCAATGTTACCGAAGTTGCTGGCGTAGGAGAACTCCATCGGGCCTTCACTTTTGCGGGTCAAATGAGGGAACTTATCCCCTGTGCCTGCCCAGTCAAACTTCCCCGAGTCGACAATTATGCCTCCGACTGTAGTTCCATGACCGCCGAGCCACTTCGTGGCCGAATGCACAACGATATCCACCCCGTGCTCAATCACGGGGCACCAATAACCACCAGCCCCGAATGTGTTGTCAACCTGTACAGTGAGAGTTAGTCTTCAATGTAGCTTTCAGAGATTTACAAAGAGCTTCACTAACCACGAAAGGCAGATTGTGGGCATGGGCGATGTCGGCAATTGCTCGGAGGTCAGGGACACTGATGCGCGGGTTCCCCACCGTTTCTACAAAGACAAGCCTGGTGTTGTCGTCAATTAATTCGCGATAGCTCTCCGGATCATCGCCGTGGACCCATTTGACGGAGATTCCAAGTCGTGGTAGAATTGACTTGAAGAGACTGTAGCTGCCTCCGTACAGGTTGGTCGATGCGACAATGTTTTGTCCGGTATGTGCCAGACACAGGATGGCCTGGAATACGGCAGATTGCCCTGAAGCGCATGCCACTGCTGCTGTGCCTCCTTCTAAAGCCGCGACACGCTTCTCAAGAACCTCAACGGTTGGCTGTGCATTGGTAAGTAAACTGCGAAATACATATGTGGCTGGCTGGATACGAACATTGGAAATGCGAGTGTATACGTATCCCGCCTCCTGGTTGGTACACACACGCCGGGCATGCTCGCTGTCGGTGAAAACATAAGACTGCAATTGTATTTAGTGCACAACGGACGAAAGACAAACTGTAGGGCAAACTCACTGCTGTGGAGTAGATTGGCACAGCTCTCGCTCTAGTAGCTATGTCGGGCTTTGCACCTGAATGAATCTGACGTGTGTCGAAGCTACGATTTGACTCGGCCTCAAGGTCAACTTTGAATGGCGTGAATGCGTCTGGCATATTGGGAAGTGAAACTTATGAGAATTAGGGTTATGAGGAATGGGGTCCCAACAAGGGAATTATCGTCATATCACAGATATATAAAAGTACAATAAGCCTGGAATTACAGTCTAATCCAAACTGCACTAAACAAAAAATTTACTCCGAACATCCGGCGCAAGGCTTCGGACATTAACGAATTAGTCGTTTCCAGCCACGGAGTTCGAACTAGTCCGCTACGCTATGAGCCCCGACGTAGATGAGTCAAGAACTACCTAGCGATATTCCTTATATAGGGAAGACCCGTGATCGTAAATTGTGTCTTTAGTGGTAGCTCGACATAAGTGTGAATCGGAGCAAGTGCAAAAATGTCTTCCAGCGCTGAAGTCGGCCTCTATGCCTGGATGCAGAGGTTTTCTCATAGCCGTCTATCAGCTTCCGGCCATGTTTCCCTTCCATCCGGTGTATCTGCTGTAATTGGCATTATTATAATTGTTGCTGTTGGCTTCTGTCTGGGTTCTTCACAACAGCGCCTGATCCCCGGGATCCCTATTGTGGGGGGTCAGGACTCTGCTTCCATTAAAAAAAACCGGACACGCTTTGTACACGATGGAATGAACATGCTCTTGGAGGGGTACCGCCAGGTTCGTTCTTCCCAATTATACAGATAAGTTGACCGCTAAATAAGCCGAATTATTCGCAGAACAATGGTGGCCTATACTACGTTCCTAGCAAACTCGGTGAGCGGCTTATGCTGCCCACGAAGTACCTGGAAGAGCTGAAGTCAGCACCTATCGACGAAGTTGATTTTGTGGCTACTTTTATCGAGGTACGCCACAAAGCTGTATGGGGCTATTGCTTTTATGCACGTTGTATTGACCACAATATCAGATGTTCGAAGGTAAATACACTACAATGGGTAGTCGGTCCACACTACATCCACGGGTAGTACGCGGCCAGCTTAATCGGAATTTGTGTAAGTATTCATAGTTCTAGGGATATGTCTAATAGAGAAGTTGGCTGACTGATCCTTCATCTCAGGGACTGTCATGGATGGAATTCAAGACGAGATCCGGGATGCATTCGACGACGCCTTCCCGCCGTGCGATGGTAAGTGCAGGACCTATATACAGTACAATATAAACACAGCACTAATTCCTCTCAGACTGGACAGAACTGGATGTCGTCGATCGCATTACTCAGGTTGTCGCGCGAGTATCAAGTCGTATGTTTGGTGGTACAACTCTCAGTCGAAATAAGGAATGGGTTAAATCATCGATTGCGTTTGCCATTGACGGCTTCATCGGGGCCCAGGCCCTGAAGAGATACCCAGAGTTTCTTAAGCCCTTGGTAGCACGTTTCATCCCCGCGATTCAGAATATCAAGAAGCATTATGCGGCAGCCGAAAAGGCTGCCATTCCACTTCTGGAAGAGCGAGCTGCAACAGGCGCTTCAGCAGCCGACCTGCTCTACTGGATGGACGAAGATGCCAAAGGTGACGAGAAGAATCGTGCCTTCCTCGCAGGTATTCTTTTAAAAGTCAGCTTCGCAGCAATCCATACCAGTGCAGCTGCCCCTAGCCAGTTGCTGTATGACCTGTGCGCTATGCCTGAATACATCGAGCCCCTTCGACAGGAAATTGAAGCGAATACCGGCCCTGATGGGAAGATCAACCAGAAGGGCTTCTTGAATATGACGAAGCTGGATAGTATTATGAAGGAGAGTCAACGTTTCAATCCTTTGCTACTGAGTATGTCACTCCCGACTGGCCGATTCTGATATATATAATCGCCATATTCAACTCCTTGGATGCGCTGACTGTTCCCCGCTTATAGTTACATTCGAAAGAGTCGTAACCAAAGATTATCCTCTGTCCGATGGGCTGATTATCCCAGCGAATACTACAATTGGAATCCCAACGCATGCTATCTCCATGGATCCAGCACTGTACCCCGATGCGGAAGTCTTTCAAGGATTTAGATTCGCTGAAGCCGCCAAGCAGGCTAAGCAGGCGGACTCGGGAGACAAATCGGCCAAAGAAAAGCCCGCAGCATCGACATCCGTTGCCTATGCTGCGTCTCATCCGTCCAGTATGGCCTTCGGGTACGGACGACACGCTTGCCCTGGACGATTCTTTGCTTCCGCAGAAATCAAAGCAATCATGGCATATCTTCTGCGAAACTATGAATTTAAGTACCCACCTGAGCAGACGGGGAGACCCCCGAGTTTGCTGTTTGAGACGCAGAACCTGCCAAATCCAGAAGGAAAAATTCTATTTAAGAGGAGAAAGTGAGGTATAGAATTTCTGGAACTAGGATAAACCGTGTTATGTTGAGCTATTTAAAAGATAGACGATCTATGTATAGGAATAGCAAATGCGATTATCGTAGCGCATGATACTAGTACCCTTCCACGTCTACTATGACTAAACTAATTCAATGCTCATTCGTTCATGTAGCAATGGCCATATATCTAATTGTGGATAAAGGAAATAGTACTCGCTCTTGTTATTCCATTCATAGTACTAATCAATCGCTACATGCTATGGAAAGAGTAGAGGATCCTGAACTAAGCGATCCATATCCTCGGCACGAATGTGGATAGAGACATCCACCCCATTCTCCGTCCATGACTTCGGTATGGTCCCATTCCTCGAGTTGGATGGAGGGGCTTCCTGGATCATGACAATGCCATCCAAATTGGGCATCACGCTCTGGGAAAAACGAATCCCTGTAGAGCCATTGTGTAAGCCGAAGTCAATATCGTATACTCCTGCGCGGGCCCAGGTTGTCACTAAAATATGGCGTTTCCCTAGGAATGCCTGCCAAATACGTTGTGGAGACTTTTCATACGCCACACTATGGAGATGGACCCCTAAGGCCTCCGGACTTTGCACCGCGTTGATGGTTTCGCGAATGCGCCGCGCGACGCAATGAAGCTTACTCGCGTTTCCGGTCGTCTCCGACGTGGCAGTAGGCATATCAGTCCCTTTCATGTCGGCATTAACTATAATGATAGGGGATCCGATGAACCCATCCCCTAGTTTGAGAGCGGGGCGCACACCGTATGTAAGGTCACAGTGGACAGGATTTGGGTCGTTTTGTAGGTTTCGGGCGCGAGTAATGCTCGCCCAGACATGTGCCAATACCGCGTCGTGTTGGCTGATTCGAAAGCTCGACGATGTTGACCCCCGGACAGCCTCCTTCAGGATACACTCCACCTGCTCGCGGGTGAAGTGAACTACATAGTGAGATACAGGAGCGCTGGTGTCCCATTCAACCCACGGCATCGGCTTCCCCGCGGGGGGAAGGTCCTGGCCATGGAATACATCCGGTATAGCGGGCTTCGGGCGTTCGGGGCACTGAGCCCACCAGTCAAACCGATGAAGTGGCAGGTTCGCCGCTTGCCGGACCAAAGTAGAGTCAGGCTCGTCCGCGTTGATATCTCCACCAGCCAACAGGTCCAGGCGACCCGGTTCAAAAACGGTTGTTGTTTGGGAAGACACAGCAGGCGACGCACAGTTACAGAGCACTTCTCGACTAACCCAAGCCCAGTCCTTAAGAAACTGGACCAGGGCAGTGATATCTGCTAAAGGATGCGTGCTTTTGATTCCGAGTGTATAGCCGCCACAGGCCAGCTCAGTCACTTGAATCGACAGCCCTGGTGGTAAAAGACCAGATTCAATTACCGGCACAGGTCGGAGCGCATTAACCAGGGATGTAGATGAAACGAGCTCGCCAAGTGGGGATGACTGACGGTCCCAAAGCGCTGGGCGAGAAAGCGGGCAAAGATCATCCAGGGTCAAGCTGCTCGTCGCCCGGACGAATTCGACCCCCGGATCCTGAGGCGTCCCATAATGCACATACGCTCGCCCGAACCGTCGGGCATGAGGTGGAAAGTGGCTTTCAGCAGTTGTACTATCGAGACTAGTAATGGCTTTTACGTGGCCGCACCACTGCGGATAAGCGTCAAGGGCGATCTGCAACGTATGACGAAGGTGGTCGACCACGTCGACCTTATTGCCAACGATAGGACGCTCAAACAACCATACGGCAGAGGTGGGGGAGAAACTGACTGTTGTTGCATCTAAAAGCGAGAGTGGCACCGTCTTCTCGGAGCTGGTTTTGGTACTGGGAAACAGTCGTTCCGATTGAACAACGGAGGTCTTGGTGGACGACATGATGATGGCAGAGGTAATGTTGAGGGAAATGGATCACGCAGAGCAAAAGCCAGCAGTTGGAGATGCTCATTATGTTCAAAATCCATAACGATAGCAATCTGGGGTCACCCGATATCAATCCCTGTATCGGGAATTTCCTTTTTGGGACAGGCCCTACAGGTTATCCGATAGGTCGGTGGTGATAAATCTGGACATTCACTAGTTACGCTCTAACAGGTTAATGAATCTAGATCAACTGTCTGATAACTGTAGCGGTCTCCCTCTGCCTGAAAGCTCTATCATATCGCTTTCTTGGTGACATCGTGGAGTAGCTGGTGTCCCTGTGCGCGTTCAATCCTACATCATGCAGTTCGCTTTTGTTGGCTTGGTGAGACTCTCGAAATCGTGGCCAACTGATCTGAATGACTGATGAAGGATTATACGAGAAATAGATTTTAGTCGTCTGGTTTGTATACCGGTTCTGGAAGTGGCACCGGCATCCCCTCCGGAAGTTTCCAGGCCCTTTGTCGGCATCAATCAGTAATGTCTGTTTGCCCTATTTCTAAAGCACTGCCAACCGTGTAAGCTGACAAAAGCCACAGTCCCTGTATTCATGGAACTTCATGAGCGGTCGGCAGCCATACCGGCAGCTCGAGCTCCACAATCGATATGGTACGTCTCCCTCGCTGACAATTCTAAGCACCAATCTTTCTGATTTGTCGCTTTTAGGTCCCGTTGTCCGGATAGCTCCGAATGAGCTTAGCTTCAACACATCCAGCTCATGGCGCGATATTTATGGTATCCGCAAGGACGTTGAACCGTTCATCAAGAGCGAGTTCTACGATGGAGGCAACTTCGCTGCAGAAGCCCTCTCCATAGTGAGCGAGCGAGACCCGAAAAAGCACGCTGAAATGCGCAAGTATTTGGCGAGTGCCTTTTCTGACCGCACGCTTAAATCGCAAGAGCCACTTATAGCAGAGACGGTCGACAGATTAGTGGAAAAGCTAAGTCAGGCCGGCCAAACGGCACAGGGTACCGATATGGTGATGTGGTATAATCTTACGACGTTCGATATCATTGGCAGTCTAGCCTTCGGACAGGATTTCGGTGGTGTTGAGTCTGGCACTCAGCACTTTTGGGTTTCAATTGTAACGAAGAGTCTCCGCTTGGGTGCTCTGGCTGATTGCTTTCGACGATTTCCAGCCCTATCCATCATCGTTCAGACAATATTCTCTGGCATGATCAACAAGTTGATGGAGGAGAACCGGAAACATCAGAAATATACTGCAGAACTTGTTCAAAGGTAGAGTCCTGCTTCTCAATAGCTGATCGCATTGAACTGACCACTGGTAGACGGCTGGCCTCTCGCTCAGGGAGGAAGGATTTTCTTACCAAGATCATTGAGGCACGAGCCGAAGCTAATATCCCCGATGTGCAAATTGCAGCTCACTCGTCTGACTTTGTGTATGATCTCCCCCACACCTCACCCCACAAAGGTATATGTCTGACCTTAGGCTCCCACAGAATCGCTGGAAGTGAAACAACTGCGACCACCCTTTCCTGCATGACGTATTATCTACTGAAAAACCCAGAGATGATGTGTCGTCTCCAGGTAGAGGTACGTTCTGCATTCACCAGCTACGAGGAGATCGATGCAGCTAGCGCCGCCCAACTTGTCTATCTCAAAGCTGTCGCGCAGGAGGCTATGCGGATGTACCCACCGTTACCGTTCGCACTGCCACGAGTTGTGCCTCGTGGTGGGAGCACGGTGGATGGTCATTTCGTCCCAGAGGGAGTACGTTATCCTCAAGCCCAGCACTCACAACGAAACAAAACGAGCCAGCTAACATCTTATGACAAAGACCATCGTTTCGACCAGCCCCTTTGCGGCGAGCATGTCGTCGTCCAACTTTTCTAATCCCTGGGAATTCAACCCAGACCGATGGCTTGGACCTAGCAAAACCGACGATCTCGAGGCGTCCCAGCCATTTTCTCTGGGTTCACGGTCATGCATGGGTCGGAGGTAAAACTCTATTTTCTGATATGTCTAGGATAGCTTTCTAACTGACCATGTCTGGATAGTCTCGGATGGATGGAGCTGCAAACTATCATGGCAAAAATTATCTTCCGTTATGACCTGGAACTAGTGGATGAGAAGCTCGATTGGCAGGCGGAGTCGCGAATGCATACACTCTGGGAGAAGCCATCACTTATGGTCAAAGTTCTTCCTCGGAAGGAGTAGATCATAGTATATCGTAAATATATGATTGTTGCTTGGAGGGATTACGCATGTGTCTAACCATTGTTTTTAGACACTGTATCACCAGGTTTAGAGATATCATTGCTCCCAGTTAAGATGTATGACTACAATTGAATTAACCAATACAAGTCCATAAATGATCTCAGTAGCCAACCGTAAATTCAGCACATAGCTTAGTATAATGACCAGGTTATAGCCGTGAGTTAAGCATGCGCTATCTTGGGTGTGCTTGAAAGTTACACCTGTTCTTCACTCAATCACCGAAACGTCGCCTTCTGCCACCAATCGCACCGCTCGGTTGAGATATTGTCCTTGCTCGGTCCAACCCTAGATATGTTGAAGTTCTGAATCATATCACCCGCCAGGATTTCGGTTGGAAGATGAGAATAAGGCTGCCCTGTCGTGATGAAGTTCACAAAGTACCTCTGCATTATCTTCGCAAGGGTAACGTTCAAGCCAGATACCGACTCGCTAGGATTGTAAAAGGTATACGAAAGATCTACTGCGTGGATAGCCGGGGGAACACTGAACTCATACCGGAAGCTGGTATTGCTGCGTTCGAATGCCTTCCCGAGGAAGTATGAGTTGCAACTAATAAGAGATTCCCCAACAGTAGATGCCACACGACCGGTCTGGTCCACATATCCGTATTCGCCGCTGAAATTGCCAGGATACAAGTTATCTGTTATTACAGACAGACCTGTCGGTGCGATGCCGGGGAATAGGCTCGATACGAGGTTGGCGTAGTCTTGATCGTTTTTCACAAATGGAGACGCGAACAACACACCTTCATTCGTGTTGTGCCCTGCCATGACTGACACATCGTCAGGGTAATGACCCTCGCCTAGAAGAACTGGAGGGTAGTCCGGGTAATTCCTGTCACTGACCGGGCCTTCCTGGGCTTAGCTGAGTCCATTCCAAGAAACGACCAATATTCTACCCACCGAAAACGAATGTTCCATAAGGCATTGCATTACCCACAACGAGTGCATTGGCCGTCTGCAATGCCTGGGTTGATAGATCTTTCAACTGCTCGAAAGAAGTCACATTTGCTCGCTGGAACACTTCTTGCAATGTGCTCCTCTGCATCGCGGCAGGAATGTTGATGGTGTACGGGCTCTGGGCAATAGCCCGTTGAAATAATGGTCGATAGGAGGCATTGCCAGAGGTGAGATGGTACATGATCGACCCTCCTCCCGCGGACTCACCCATCACGGTGACGGTACTAGGATCACCACCAAAGAGGTGGATGTACTTATGGACCCATTGCAACGCAAATCGTTGGTCTTCCAGCCCTAGATTGCATGTAACTTCATTAGAATCCGGATCGGCCAGAAACCCCTTTCGGCGAAGTCAGTTAGTATTTAATAATACAATGAATTGAAGACCATAATGACTCACGAATAGCCCCAAGCGGTAATTGATAGAAACAAAGATCACATCATGTCCGGCCTGTTTCGCTGTCTCCATCAGACCGAGTCCAGGGCCATACAGAGACTTCCATCCCGACACGTATCCTCCGCCGTGGATCCAAATGACCACCGAAGACTTTCGATCTTCCTTTGCTTGGAACGCGGCTTCCGGCACGAAGAGGTCTAAGTACAGACAGTCCTCGCTGATGCTGGGGTCGATGGCAGGGAGGTCTGCTATAGCGACTGGAGGTACTTCCGTGAGGTTCCCGACCGGCTGCCCGAATTGACTGAGCCATGCCGGCTCCCCCTGTGGACATCGAATATTGTATACCCCTGCACTCTGTATGGTTCTGTTCACAGGTGGGGGGAGAGGAGGCTGGAAACGACGGCTCGTTCCGTATTGAAGATTTGTGAAATTCAGATATCGCATTCCATCTTTGGTGCTCTATAACTCAAGTTAGAGGACCGTATGAAAGTAAAACGCTCGGACATACATACCTCGACTGCAGCTTGGTGGATCGTGTATCCGAGATCTACCGTGGGCGCTACTACTGCATTGGCCAAGGGTGCGAGAAGTGGAAGCCCAAGACTAAGGCCTTTCATATTTTTTATTTTTTTTTAGAGGAAGTATTACCATAATGGAGTTCGAAACTCTTGCATGCAATGCTGTTATTAATTTAAAGGGTGACTGGCTACGGACTTCCTGTTTCTGGCGACGCCGAAGGATCATAAGCCCTAATTAGGCGCACCGGAGATCGTGCACCACATCATCATCTCGTGTCCCGCATACGGGGGCCTGAGGTAAGCAGTATGGGGGATCCACACAGGGCCAGCACCGGGACCTGAAAGAAGCACTGACGGATATAAGGTATGCGGCACAAACTGGCAGGTTTTCTATTGCAGACGCCGTGACTGATGTATCTGCTTCCGCCGTCACCCCTGGAGGCACGGGAAGGCCTAAGCCCAGGTCCGCGATGACTCTACGCGTATTACAAAGCGGGTGAACTCTACGGAGAACCAAACGAGTATATATTGAGGGGCTATAAGGGCTACGAGAGACTGCGGGCAAGACAGATAGGGGGGAACAATAGTTTGACAGAGACAGAAAAAAACTGGTAAAAAGTCTTGTATATTTCTGAAGGAAGATCTAGGACTTGAGAAGCATATTCTATATCAGCTTATCAACAATCAGCGACCCGAGAAGAGCCCCAAAAGGTGGCTGTATTCAGGTATAATGCAGTAGTCAATTAATCAATCATAAGCCTTAATTTACACAGTGACTCGGTATACCTCGAGAACGAACCACACTCGGTTCTTTTTTTTCACGCTGTATGTACGTATAATTGGGTGACACTTGGTAAATTAGGCCTCTTTTTCATCCCACAGATCGTCCAGCCCCAACCGACCGGTCAATGCATTAGTGCTCGCTTGAGAATCCAGATCCGCCGCAAACAAGCGATATTTCATGTTATGCCAGTCAACACTTCTCCATTCCTTACCATTACGATCCACAAATACCGAATCGGTCTCCGGTCGCATTAGATACACGACCGTCAGCTTGACCTTATCCTTTTCCAGCGGATGAGGCACCACCCTATGCAAGGAGGATCGCAGCACATTTTGTGAAAGGAACTCTGCCGAGTCGCCGATGTTGCATACCGCATGGCCTGGTCGTGGCTCAATATACATCCACGCCCTCTTCTTAGGATGGTACACCTGTAGTCCACCGACGTCCGAGAAGACCATTGACAGACTACCAATGTCTGTGTGCGGGATGTGCCCAACTTTAGTACTTTCTAATGTGTATGGCAAGTATCTCAGTAGCCCTAAAGCTGTCGGCGATGGTTTGTCCTTGTGATGATGCGCTGCGAGGTTCTTGCTCTCTTTGAGCTTCAGCGAGCGCGATAGACTATCCATAATCTCACGACCTATGTCGCCTAGGTGGGCATTCGTGGTCTCCACCAACTCGCGGGAATCTTGAAAGATCTTAGGCCCTTGAATTGGACGATCTCGTGACGCATTTCGTAGAGCATGCTCGAAGATCTACGGAGTATATCCAGTTAGCACATGACTCATTCTGACTGAAAATGATAAAATGATTCCTCTGACCATGAATCCTTCGAATCCATCTTTTTTCCCGGCGACCGATCCCGTTTGACTACCTGCGGGCTTGTACCTAAAGCTAGTGTCAGTTTTCGCTGTGGAATACTCGTCTTCATAATGCATAAAGTTTATACGGGTGGTGCTTTTTACCCCAGTACAATCTCTTCACCTGCGCTATGGTCTTTGTTTACCTCCCACTCGCTCTTTCTGCACTGCGGAAGCTCATAGAATTCCAATGCAGCGGCGGCAACGCTGTCGATTTGACTGATGAGCTTTCCCGAGGGGTGATCACGACAGTCTAAATAGAAGAATCCTAGGTCGGTACAGGCGTGAAACAGCTCTTTCTCTGTTTCGTTGTTGCGATTCATAAGCTTGGCGATAGAGATGGTCGCCAGGGAAGCATCCTCGGCAGTCTCTGACACGCCAAGCACGTCTTCGTTCGCGTGTGGTGCCATGCTATGCGTATTGTTCTGGCACAAACGATGGATGTCTGATGTCTAGAATATGTCACTATAATGCACAGTATCCTTACAAATATCATTGGGGTTATATAAAATCTGGCTTATGGAAATAATATGGGGGCGTACCCTAATGAAGGACATCCACCGGGCCACCTCGTGGAATTTCCTAATTGGGCGAATCCCGAACTTGGCTTCATATTATGAGCCGATCATGAATAGGTATGTAGGAAAAGAACTGGTACAGTTTGTGTTGTCTATTTTGGCATTTGTTAGCTTCCTCTAGATATCTTAAACTACTGCTCTTTAAACTGTAATGAGAAAGTGCCTCAGTAAACCTCTACCATGATCACCGTAATGCTGCCAATCCTTCTCAAGTTTCAGATCTGCACTCATCTAGTCCTTTCGAGTTTCTACTCCGTCACCAAAACCCGAATCCCTTTTGTCCCGTCCTTTGGTGTCGGCACAAAGCGATCATAGTGAATCTCAACGTCCTCTCGGGTAGTCTCGAACAACTTCATCCGGGACCCAAGGCGGCGAACCAACAGTCCGATCCCCATGTAGAGCTCCGCGTAGGCCAAGCTATGAACAGATAAATAGATGTTAGCGAGAAAGGGTATTGCCTTCAGGGGAGGAACCCAAGTGGAGAAAATTGACATACTTAATTCCAAGACATTGTCTACTACCTCGTGAGAATGACAGAAGATAGCCGTCAAGATGATGATGCCGCATTCCATTTTCATCGAGCCATCGTTCGGGTTTGAACGTGTAAGGATTGGGGAAAAGCTCTGGGTGCGCATGGATCAAGGTCGCTGTCATTCCCACTGGTGTACCCGGAGGAATCACATACTCCATGCAACGACTGCCATCGATTCCGTCGCTCACTTGGGTTCTAAAATGGAATGGACCCAGGGGGTTAATCCGCTGAAGGCGCGTACTGACACCATACGATAACCGAAGACCCTCACAGATTACCGCACTGAGGTAAGGAAGTTGCTCAAGGCAGCTCCAACTGACTCGCTCGCTCGGGTCAGGGATGGCGGTAGCCAACTCATCCTGGAGCTTTCCAAGCACTGTCGCGTTCTCCAAAAGATAGAATAGAGTTGCCGATAGCGTCCAGGCGGTAGTCTCCGTCCCGGCTCCGACGACAATCTGGCCTTCCTGCCAAAGACGTTCGAGTTGCTTCTCCTGCTCTGGTAGGTCCCCGGTGAGAAGCTCATGAAAGATTGTGCGTGTCAGGCCTCCGTCTGCTGGCTTCTCCCCTGATGCAATACGATCTTGTGCTTGGCGGATTTGTCGGCGAATGTCTTCCTGAAACTGCACGTACACCATCGCCTCAGGGTTAATGCGGGCGACGATCGTTTGTGGTAGTTTGTTCATTAATGATATCAACCACGGGAACTGCTTAATCCATGGCCCCATATCGCTACCAGCAATGATGGCGCGATGGAAATTTGGTTCGAAGGTCGCCGAGTCGAGGAAACCGTAGCTCTTTGCGAATGCGTACTCGGTAACAATATCTGTGGTCATGCAGCTAAAGGCCATGGTCATAGTGACAGGGCTGTTTGTTCCGGTGTAGTGATGCTCAAGCTGGGCCACAAGCTTTTCGATGGCACGGTGGATGATGGGTTCCAGCTTGGTCACCGAAGCCTTGGAGAAGAAGCGGTTCAAAGCTCCGCGACGGAGTCTGTGTAAATCATGGCCTGGCGTGCCAAATACACTATCTGGAATGCCAAACTGCGCGCTGAAGTAGGGATACTTGTCGCGTTTCTTTCCGCCACCAGCGTAAAGGTCGTCGATGAAATTTGGGTCGTTGACGTGGAGTTCATTTGGACTGATGCGGACGATCGGCCCATACTTCTCGTGCATGCGCTGGATTTTAAATGTATAGCGACCTCGCTGGATGGCATCATAGTAAAATTCATACCATACGGTGAGGGCTGCGATCTTGGGACCGGGATATCTGGCTAATGGATGGAAAAATAATCGATAGATACATAGGCAGAGCAGATACAGCCCATAACCTGTGATTAGAACAGCTCCTGAAAGCATTTTGATAGACTCTGCCTTTCTGCCTATCACTACAATAGTATGTAAGATTATAAAGGGATTAAATAAAGGATTGACTTTATCCTGTTGGATGGAATCGGCCTTGTCCACTCAGGGCAATGCCGAAGATCATATACATCGGAGCTAGGGTTATCATCACAATCCGTTCATTGCACAATGCAGCACTCTTGTCCCACTATCAGTCTCTGTCTCAGTTCCGAACTACGACATTCATGTGCTAATTGGATTTCATACACAGAAAGATTGACGGTTGCGCATAATCCTTCGTACTTTTCAAATAGATGCCAGTCAACCCAGCACGTTGACTATATCCTGTACTCGGGCGTTTGGAGTAGACCCCACCAAAGCTTTGAGTGCGGCAACAAAGGCTGTTCCCAGCTGCTCCACTCCCTGGAATGAATATTTCCCGTCAGACTGGATCCGTATACTGACTCCATCACCTTTTTGAACCACTCCGAGGACAAGTGGTGCCATAGGCTTCTGCACTTCGACAACCTTCCATGGTCCAGGTTCAACAGGCATGTCTAACAAAATAATTACCTGAGACTCAAGCCAGTACGAGTTGTACTGTTCCACTCCAATGGCTCGGCGGAGCTCGGGGTATGTCCACTGGAAATTATTCACCTTGTGGAAGTTCTGTTGAACGCTCCTCAAAGTGTCTGGAATAAGCTCATCCTGATTGAGCTGCAAGATAAGTGGGCACCGGCCGTTGACTCCTCCCACAATACTGTCGATGGAAGGATAATCTAGAGTCCGGCCGGAGACACTCGCCTTCATGGCTACTGTATTAGATGTACTATACTTGGACAGAGCCAGCCCCCATGCCATGTAGATGATCATTGCCGAGGAAACCCTGCAGCTTCGTGAAAATTCATCCAGTGCCATTTTCCTCACAACGAAGTCTGACTCCCACGTTGACCATGACACAGACTGAGCCCTTTCTAAGGGCAAATTGAGAGGTTTAAGCTTTGTCCATGGACGGGCGTAGTGTCTCCAAAACTGCTGAATTTCTGGAAAGTTACCTGCTTTCTTCTGCCGGAGGAACTGGGCCAAGCCAGCGAGGCTTACTACCGGAGGGAGCTTGTCCTCCTCCCCTCGAAGAATCACCTCCAGTTCAGCTAATATAGTGCCAAAGGAAAATGCATCGAGGTATACATGGTGCATTGTCCAACTTAATTGGATTCTCTGTCCAGGCAGTTCGATAGCCCAGAAACGTGGTTCATGAATAGGAGACCCTTTATGTGAGCGTATTCTGGACAACATCCTCTGTTGCTCACTCTCCGCCACAGTCTTTAATTCTTCCTGACTTGACACTTTAATGTCTGTCCAGTTAAGTGTGAAACTATTATGAACTTTTTGAGTGCCGAGGTTTAAGTCAAAGGTAGTGCGAAATATGGAATGACGCGTAAAGAGAAGCTCCCAAGCCTTCCGCAGGGTCTCACTGCGAAGGCTATCCGATGTAATGTCGCGAGTCAGGGAATGGAACAGATAATTACTGCTTGGACTTTCGGAAGTTTCGCGGAGAATTTCAGCTTGGTGGTCTGTAAGCGGGATTTCTGTGTCATCCGTCGGTTTGAGCCCTGGGTAGTCTTCCACGGACACCAGAGCTTGATCAATGGCCGAAACTGTGTCCAGTAGGAAGATGTCGGCGACAGAGACTTTGAGCTTGCGTTGTCGTAGGAATGCAGCCAGCTTTATAGCCCGAAGAGAGTGCCCACCTAGCCTTACAAATGACGTTGTAGGCATGATGCGACTAACCGGTCTATCGAACACCGCAGCGAAGGCCTCTGCTACAACTGGTAGAGTGGCACAGTTCGAGGCATTTGGATTGTTTATATCCGTGATTGTTCTGGCATCGCTAAGCAACACAATTTTCTTTAGGGACTTTGTATCGACTTTACCATTCGAGGTCAAAGGGAAATCTTGCACCGCGAAAAGTAGGTCAGGTACTAAGAAATTGTCGTATCGTTCTCTTAAATGGCTCTGCAGTTTATCGGTAGCCACGTCAGCAGGGGTAATGAAGCCCACAAGGGCACCTTGGTGCATGAAGGCAGCTGCTTGATTCACACCAGAAAAGCTTCTCAACGCTGGCTCCACCTCAGTTTCTAGATTGACGAGAAACCCGCGGTTCTTTACCAACCGGTCAACCCGGGCTAGAAAATGCAGTCCGTCCTTGTCTCGTCGCGCCAAGTCACCGGTGCGATAATGCCGAGTTCCACTACGCATAAAGAACTTCTCTTGCGTAAGCTTCTCATTGTTGAGATAACCGATGGCGAGACACGGCCCTCGGATACAAATCTCCCCTTCGTCGACCTCGTTCTCCAAGGCGTCGTCGAGTAGGACGAGTTCTACCCCCGACACGATGTTGCCCAGGATAATCGGCCCACCGGGGGTCATTTCAGCAACCGAAACAGCCGTGGTACACTCCGTGGGCCCGTATGAGTTGTAAACCTTTCGTGTTGGTGTTACCCATGCGTCGATCAGGGCGGCTGTGGGTGCCTCTCCTCCCATGTAAATCTCCCGGACGCCATCAAACCGGGACGATAGCTCAAATGTGGAGAGGATAGAAGGTGTTACAACCAGCGTTGAGCAAGTTGGGGCCACATCCAGTACATCTGCAGGTAACGCCATGGCCAAAGTACCTCCGTGGCAAAGGGTGGAAAAGACAACTCCCGCGCAGCCTATAAATATAACGTCAATAAGCCGTGAAAACATTCATTTATACTTGTATAGCTTACCGTCAAAGGCAACAGAAAAGAATAGTAGAACTCTGGTCCCAGGGTACACCGTCATAGCACCCGGGAAATTCTGCTGCACAAGATGGGCAGCACTTCCATGGGAGACCATGACGCCTTTAGGCTTCCCGGTGGTTCCCGAAGTGAAGATGATATATATCAGGTCGGATTGTTTCATTTCCTTTCGAATTTCCTCAAGCACCTTTCTCTCACTGACCGTGGTTGTCAACACATCTGGACGCAAAATATCGGTCATGTAAACCAGGTCATAACCTGGGATAGTCGTGCCAACAGTGCTGAAAACCATCTTTGACTGCACTGCTTCCAAGGTCGCCAGAACTCGTGACGAGCTCCAGGCATTAAAGTCCATTGGACAGTAGCAGGCACCCAGGCGGAGTATCCCCAAAACCGCGACAAGCATTTCCGGGCCCATACTTGTAAGCAGGGGAATATAGTCGCGCGACTTGAATCCTCGCCCCTTGAGGGCCAAGGCTACTGTGATTGATGCATCGCGTAGTTCACTGTACGTCAGGGAATTGCCCTGGAAGTCGGCTGCAATGCCATTGGGATCTTGATCCGCCCGTTGGTCTATCAGGTCCAGTACACACGTTTGGAGCGGGTGATTCGCATATTCTATTGCTGTCGCTTCTATTATTGTCATCGTTAATACGGTCGTGATTTGAAGGTAGCTCTTGGGTCATCTTCGATATAAAACAGTTATAGTGTATTTATCTCAATGCAGTTATGCTGACTAAAACTTGAGTGCATCTCGGATAGTTCCTAAAGAGGCAATCCCGATTTCTTTCCATCGACCCCGGTCAATATTCCATATCAAGCAACATTACTCACACATAAGTAAGCCACCAGGCTCATGGGTATGTCTTTTCGAGAGGAAAATTTGTGTTGACGAGTTGACGCCCAGCCATAACGATAGGCCAATTCAGCACCAGTGGGGTTTTACCGAAGTATCAAATTTAGATGTCTCAACCTTGTTTCCAGATTATATTAGCATCTACATTGAAATCGACAGTTCTATACTTGTCCAGTTATTCAAAAAAAAAAAAAAAAAAAAAAAAACTAACGTTCGCTATCGAGAAAACGTTTGGTTCAACCAAGCAGTCATGGCTTGAAACTCTACTCCAGGAAATTGTCCCAGCCCAACGTCCGTGATGGGCTCAGCATGGAACTCCCATGAGACACGGCTGATCAGCACGTCTGGATGTTCGGCCTACTCATTGAAGATGTACGCAATGCACAAACGAGATCCAATCTTAAATGGAGGGAAATTTACCTTGATCTTGTGTGCCAGACTGACAATAGAGTCCAAAAGCATTTCATCTCCGCCAACGCCAATAAAATTTCTTTCCACAGACAGAGAAGGCTCCACCAGCCCGTAGGCGCATCAGTAGGATGACTATATTTGTCCATTTCAGCATCACCAAAAGGCGCTTGAGCCCATCGACTCAGAGATTTGGCCCAGATAGCATCTTTGTCCGCATTTGTGCTTGAAGCTTTCGTGGTCAGTGCGGAAATAGACCCATGGTGATAATAGAAGTGCGCCGCGAAGGCTTTCCGATAGAGACAGTGTGGGTATCGAGTCATGTGTATGGGCTTCAGTAAGATGCGACAGGACTGCAAGAGCCAGACGAGCACCTGAAGAGTCACCTTGGAGAATAATGTTTGATGGTCGCTTGCCTAGGATTTCTACGGCGTACTGGACAAGAGCTACGCCCTGGGCTAGCTGCCGGGGCCATTAAGCATGAGGCACAAGGTCATAGGCCAGGAACAGGGCTCCCGTATCTTGGTTGTTTTGCGTGAGATCGGTGGCGAGTGCCTTGACAAGGTGGAAGTGCCCTGGCAATGCGGGAATGCACTAACTCCTCCAGAGAGGTATAGTATCAATTTCTCCGCATTGGGGTTGCCTATCCAAAAAGCTTCAGTTCCATCATGTAGACAGATAATATTAGGCGTGATTTGTTGAGAATGCATTAGGGCCTTGTCAGCATTCTGCGCTGACTTCGGTGGATGAATGTACTTTATGCAGGCTTAATAATAGCTCTTCACGTCGATTGCAAGGTTGCAGTTGAGACATATATGAAAAGAAACCGTATGGACTTACTGGATTTGTTCTATAGAATCATTTCCAAGGAACGACCGTGAAGATGCAATAGCTTGTAGGCCGTAGCGCTTCCCGTTTGACCACGAAAGGGCGCGCTGATAGCAGACCAGAGTGCTACAGCGACTTGAACCGCGGGCGAGTTTTAAATCAGGAATTATAATGATGTGCCTTCAGATCGGATGTCACTTACTGGACTTGCCAGCTGTAAAGCCCAACCCTAGCCACAGCTCTGCCGGAGGATATAATTCAGTAGGGGATAAACACCAGCTGTTAGTTGCTTCTGAATCTTTAACAAGAGTTCCGCCGGAGATATGAGTCGTATTAAATAAAACAGCAGGAAAACATTTCTAAACAAGGATTCTCCTTGGCCCGAGCTCTCGGCGGAGAAGGAAGATACGGAAAGTGTTTCTGTCCCTACACCAGACTATTTATTTATTGGGCGTGGTTGGCTTGAACTCTTGGCATTGATCGACCACGATGTCGTCCTTCCGCCGACTCGGCGGAATAATGAAGGTATCTCAATTTAGATGGAACACTTTGTCCGCCGAATCGACGGAAGGAAATACTACTCCGAAATAAATACCGGGTGGAAATTAACAGTTTTTTTTTTTTTTTTAGCACAAAGTGAGGGATTCTCTTGAGCAGAAGGCATGCGCCTTGATATCTTTATCATCTCACCCCTTGGTATATCAGCGAGATTAAGATTTGAGCGTTCTCATGTCTACCAAAACAGGCGAAACGGCAGTGTCGTCAAGAACTTCAGCACCTGTGATACCTGAAAAGCTCAGCGGAGATGCTTCGCCCTCACACGACACCTGGGCAATGGAGAATAGTAACAAGGAACAGACTCGATCTGGCGTTGACGATGCGTCAACCGATAAGTCAAGCACTGGCGGCTTCGTACTACTCATGACCGTCACGGCTTTGGCTATGAGTATGTTTTTGGTACGACTTCGCCTTTCGATCCATTTATTCAATGTGAAACTAACGTTTGGTCGCAATTAATAGGTTTCGTTGGATATGGTAAGCGGATTCAGCCACCGGGCGTAGCCGTTAAACCTACGCCGGAGCGTGTTTGACGAGCGAGGAGTTAATCAGTCCTTTTACCTCAGACCATTGTAGCAACTGCGATCCCGAAGATAACAGACGAGTTTGGCGGCATCGAGGAGGAAGCCTGGTACGGATCGGCGTTTTTCATTACATTGGGGAGTTTTCAAGCTGCGTGGGGGAAAGCATACAAGTACTTTCCGCTGAAAATATCCTTCCTGTTATCTATCGTTGTATTTGAGGTTGGAAGTTTAATTTGCGGTACGTTTCACCTCGAGATGTGTTCTTGGTTGACTAACTGGTTATGCTCAGGCGTTGCGCCAAATAGCCTTGCGCTCTGTATTGGACGAGCCATCACCGGCGTCGGGGGTGCAGGGATTTCTTCGGGTGCATTTACCATTATCGCTTTATCTGCACCGCCTAAACAACGACCAGCATATATTGGAATTCTGGGTGCCTCGTATGGGATTGCTGCGGCTATTGGACCTCTCGTTGGTGGTGCTTTCACGACCAATATTACCTGGCGCTGGTGTTTCTATATCAATCTACCAATTGGCGGGCTGGCTGGCGGGATCATTCTATTCTTCTACCGACCTCCTCCTCCGTTGCCCTTCCTGAATACGCCGCTGATAGAAAAGCTACGTCAAATGGACCTACCTGGCACCTTGATCCTTGTTTCGGCTCTAGTCTGCTATGTCCTCGCCCTTCAGTGGGGTGGGGTTTCGCTGTCGTGGGGTGATTCTAAAGTTGTTGGAACTTTAGTTGGATTTGGTGTGCTGTTGGTTGTCTACGCCATTGTACAATGGGCACAAAAGGAGCGTGCTGCAATGATTGGGCGACTGTTCCGTCGAAATGTAGTGGTCATGATGATCTACATTGACCTGCTAGCGGGAACCTTTTTCTTGCTGGTATACTACTTACCGATCTACTTCCAGGTGGTGTCGGGTGTGTCTGCTGCCCAGAGTGGCATCCGAAATCTGCCTTTGATTCTTGCCCAGAGTGTTTCGACCGTCATATCTGGTGTTACCCTCAGCAAGTTTGGATACCCCCAGCCTTTTCTCTTGGCTGGGGGAGTACTCACCGCGATTGGGTCGGGTTTATTGTACACGCTCGAGGTTAACACAAGCTCTGGAAAATGGATTGGCTACCAGCTGCTGGCTGGTATTGGCATTGGATGGTGCTTCCAGGTTCCTGTGGTGACAGCTCAGGCATCTGTTGCGCCTGAGGATTTGCCCTCTGTGACGGCCATGGTACTGAGTACGCTCTTCGCTCCGCATTTCCTTGTTTTCTGGGCAGTATTCATTAACTCTTATTAGCTGTGCAAACCCTGGGGGGATCAGTCTTCGTTTCGGCTGGCCAATCAGCTATGGTCAATGTTCTTCTCAAAACCCTCCAGAGTGAGACTTCAACTGTAGACGCCATCAAGGTTGCGATGACAGGTGCAACGGAGCTACGCCATAAGTTCTCTTCCGCCCAAATGCAGTTCATACTGACTGCTTACATGAAAGGCCTCCAAGCGGCATTTCTTGTGGCCATAGTGGCGTCTAGCGTGGCTACCGTGGTCTGTTTGGCGACTCGATGGCTTAAATTCTCGGGCCAAACCACTGCTGCCGCCGCCTAACGACAAGAGATAACAGGTTCCTTTTGCGTACTTCTTGTTTCCTTCCTGCTAGGATTAGAGGATCTTAGCTGCTGGGGTTAAGAATTTCAAATATTAATTTTCCCGCCCCCAATTTTCTGCACATTTATGAAAATAACTCTTGTAATACTACCATGAAGTAATACAAGCCAATATTTGAATGATGATGTTATCAGATTGATAAGGCAAAAAGTCTCGGGGACTTAAGCGGAGGGTGACATTTTAATATATATAGCAGGAGGCGGTCAACGGGTTACGGCTTCCTATCTGAGTGCCAAACAAAGAGACGCGCCAGCTTCGCGTCCATAACCCTCACATTCCTGGGTTTTTTATTAGGCTTTTACCCCTGTCCCTGGATGACCGAGACACGCATTGGCAGACATATCGGCCTTAAGTTAAAATTATGAGTGCGATAAAGTGGACTAATATGCATCCAACCTCAACCCCGCCCGAGGACCAGCAGCCACCTCGGAAGAAAATCCGAAAAGGGACCCGCAGTTGTTGGGAATGTAAGTAATCAAGTGAGGAAATTCCGTTCACTAGCTGGTGGTTCTAGACTGATTGCAAGACAGGTAAACGTCGCAAGGTTCGCTGTCATTTCGTTTCTGATGGCGACGAAAGTTGTCGCGAATGCCTGGCAAGGGGGACTCCCTGTCGCAGCCAGGACTTACCAGAGCCCGAAAGCACTCGCGAGTCAGATCGTTCGTCATTGAATGATCGACTTAGCCGCGTAGAATCTCTTCTTGAGAGGGTTATACGACGGCTGGACGCCATTGGTGGTGCTGAGGAGGCACGGGTGTTACCCTCCATGGGGACCGATAATGATGATAATGACTCAAACTGTAGCGCAGCCGCCACGCCTGCAAATGAAAACGCGCCAGCCATGTCGCTATTTGACAATGGAGTAGTAAGCATCACGTCCAAGACTTATATTGGAAGTTTCTTAACATGAAGTAGCTAAGCTTTCGACGATCGGAGGTCTCTACGCCAAATATCACATTGTTTACTGCCACCACCCGCGACTGGGCAAAGCTACGCCATGAGATTCTGGATTTATTACCATCTGATAGCACTCTGAGAAAGCTTGAAGAAGCCAATAGCTGCTGGTGGCTAGTCAGGGCTCAATGTTTCCAAGAATACGAGGAATCACTACTTTCAAGCGCGACGGCAGCCCGTTCAGACAATCACCCAGCCGCGATCGCGAAGGTTCTTTTATGGCTGGCCATTTGCCTCCAGCAGCTCCCACGGGGCTTTGACATTGGATCATTAGAGCTTCGGTATCCTCCCACACGATTGATTGCAAAGTGCGTCACAATTGTTGCACATTCCATCAGCTCTGATGAGACATTGGTAAGTAGCCTTGATGGGTTGGAGTGTCTAGTGCTTCTCGGAGTACTTTATAACAATGACGGGAAACTGCGGAGTGCCTGGTTGTGCTATCGCCGGGCCCTCAACGTGGCTCAAATTATCGGGCTCCATCGACTAGCCTCAGAATCGACGGACGGATCGGAATCTATTTCCAGAGCGAAAGGTATCTGGAATCATATTATCTACGCAGACCGATACCTTTCTTTAATGCTAGGGATGTATTATGGTATCCCTGACGTGGCCTTGAAGTCCAACCAAAGCGGGGATGAGACACCGAATCGATGCCACATGGATCTTCTTTGTCGCATAGCTGGATCCATTATCGAACGAAACCAAAGGTTTAACGCAATAACACCTTCCATGGTTCGCATAACACAAACCATCGACGCGGAGCTTATTTCAATTGGCCCTCCATCGGTGGTTGAGGACCCAACGATCTTACCACCAGGAAAGTCTATGGAGCGAGCCCAGGCCTACACCAAACTCATGACGCAACTATGGCATTATCAACTCATCGCCTGGCTCCATCTGCCCCTGCTTCTGGGGTCTGGCACGGAGAGACAGTATGACTACAGTAGACAAAGTTGTCTTGAAGCATCCCGGAAAATGATTGCGTGCTATACATCTCTGCGTCGCCTTACTGAGAACAGCTTTTGTTGCAAATCGCTGGACTTTCAGGCGTTTACTGCCGCCGTCACTCTTCTAATAAATATCCTTGGGCCCACCGGCCGATCCCACCTCGACTCTAATGACTGGCCCGCTATCGGAATCGTAATGGCAAGCCTGGAGACATTGGGAGAGGGACAGTCACCCGACAAGGTAGCAACCCGAGGTCTTAGCGTTCTGCGGACTTTGAAAAGGGTTGCGACGAGGAACAACACAGCCCAGTCTGATACCTCCGACGGACTTCCCCCCATGGACGGCCAGTCCGGGCGTATCAAACTTGACATTCCATACTTTGGTACCATTTCCCTTGACTGTAGCACTCGCGGTGATTTCCCAGACCAACGACAGCTTAATAACGGTGCGCCAAAACCTATTCATGCAGATCTGGCTGCCAGTAATCCATTATCGTCGAATATGGGAAATACCACGGAGGCAGGCACAGTGCATGATCAGGCCATGGATGCGGGGCCGTGGCCAGAAGCGCGCCTGGAACTTGGCCCTGCCGATATATGGTCATTTGATCCGGATTTAACAGCAGTATTCCCTTTCTTGCCAGATTTGGAAAATAGCTGGGACTTGGGGCTTTGATTGGGGATTCGGCTCACTCGAACCATGTAAGGGGAGTAACCACCAGCAAATGTATTTTCAAAAGGTCTTTCGACATTTTACAGCCGTGGAAAGGCTAGTATCCATAAATATCTAGGTTACTAGGTAGAACCCATGGGTTAGCAGTTCTATAGACAATCTGTATATTATATTAACCCTGAGAACCTCACTGTCGCGAAATGATATCTCCATAGCCTACTGTGCGACTCTTACAAAGGACTCATATTACTAATGAAGCTATGATCCAGGCTTCCTACGATGGGTTTGTGTTCTTTCCTCCTGAATTTAAACAGTGGAACAGCTCTGACCCATTCTCGAGTACTGCGGTAAAAGGAGAAAGACAATTCTTTCAAAAATATCGGATACCCGAAGTGACAATCGAGTACTTAATAAAAACAAAGCTTAGCGGTGAGGACCGGCAAGAAATAGAAAGGGATTGATGCTAACGGCATCTGTAAGACGAATACCCTGACCAGAGGGGATTCTTTCGGCCATATCCAGGAGCCTGTGTGCTCTCGCAACGCACGCTGCTTAGAAGGTAACAGTATAAGAAGAAGTGGTGAAGACCGCGTTCTGTCCAGTGAAGGGTTCAGTGCCGGCACCAATACTCAGGTAGTATTGGGAGGCGGGGAAGCTCTGCTTCTCAGTGAGGTAGGTGAAGAACTCGGCCAGGTTACCAGAGAAGTCCTGGATCTCTGTGGGAGCAACGAAACTGAACACAGTGGTCGCGGCGTTGGTGCCCTTGTAGAGCTTCCAGGTTTTACCGCCAACGGTGGGGTTATCAATCGGGGAACCGGTGGAAGAGATGGGACCGGCACCACCAAGGGCGGCGGTCCAGATCATGATCTCGTACTCGGCTTTACCACCGGCACTAGAGGAGGTGAAAATGTCGTACGCCACGTCACCGACGATGTTGTCTCCTTTGTAGCTGCCAGTGGCTGTCAGCATGATTTTATCAGTCATTGAAGCCGTTGCTTACCTCCACTTCCAGGTAGACTGGATGTTGGTCAGGTCAGAAACCTTCTTGTTCTCGGGCCGGGCCTCGAGGTTGGGGTAGCTCTTCACTTGGCCCTGGCCGCCGGACCAGCTCCAGGTAGCATGCCAGGCGACGCCGCTGGAGCTGTCCTTGGTTGAGGAGTCGAGTCCAACGCACTGATTACCAGAGCCATTGTCCTTACCCCACATGTTGTTGTAGAGCTTGAAGTTGCCGACATTGATCGTATCGTACTGACCGCAGGAATCCGCACGTTTCGCATCCTTGTGCTGATGAGATGGAGTCCATGCAGCAGTGGCAGTAGCGGCAAAGAGAGCCAGAACAGCGGTAGAGGTCTTCATGATGGTGGTTTTGACAGATGGATTGAAAGATGAACCGAAAGTGACAAGAAATTGATAGCTGAGGTGGTGGGTTGGTTCAAATGAGTGTGTTGATGGCTTGAAGCAACCTGATGATGGTCCCTTCTTATACCTGAGGAGAGCCAGGATGCACGTTGCTGCCTCTCAGTGATCTTGCCTTGATCACCGGCCGCTTTCCTATCTCCATCCGCATATGGTGTCTTAATCTGAAACCAGGTGATGATAAACAAGATGTACTTCACCAGGTTCCGAACTTACTCCGAGAATTGTATACAAGGCACTAACCATGGATGAAGTTGCTTTATTCCCATTGAACGGACTAATCGAACGGCTAAAATGAAAGGTGCGCTGGATGTCTCTCATAGCTGTGTTGGGTGTCTCATATGATGGACGATCGCCGGCCACAACCGGTGGGATCACCTCCTTGGATTGCACGATCGATTAGGATATCAACATTCCGCAATACAAGCCTCTTTGCGGTTAACTCCACCTGTTAAACATTTGTTGCCTCACACTTGCAACCTGAAAAAATGCCACTGGTAGATAGCAACTCATGATCGTAATTACTGGCACTACGCCTTCACGCAGAACTGTTGGGGAAACCGGGGGCACATGCAGGGCACAATACGGCGGACTAAATCGACGTTCCGGACAATGCCCAATATCAACACACTATATCTTAGCCTGAGTCAATTAATTTAATCTATTTAAAAACCTCTCCGTCGCACACCCATAGTGCTGTATAAGCTTTTAGGTGCAACTAGGATCCTCGTTGACCTCCACTGCAGTGCATAAGGATTCAGCCTGTTTAGTTCCTTCTGGCATTAGGCTAATACTACGAAAAGTCCTAGTGGTCTGCCGGATGTTTAGTTCGCCAGAGTGAGGGTCTCAGGGTCTTTGGGTCTTAGGGTTAATATAATACACAGTTTCAGTCTCCCGAAATTGGTAACTGGCCTTGTCGATCCACAAACCGTCGAAACTTAATCACAATGGCTATGTACACACGGGACGCCGGCTCGGTACAGAGATTATAGGGTGACTGAGCTATATACCGAATTTCGATTCAGGAATGGATGCCTGAAGCTTCGTCGCATCCACATATGGTTGTGCGAACAGATTTTGATTAGTTGATGTCTGCCGAGATATATTAAACATGGATCGAAACGTAATAGGAATTGATTTCATGGAAATGGGCCCTATGAAGAATGAAGTCAAATGAAAAACGAGTAACTTGAAGGGATAATGGGTAAAAAGACATGGAAAGTTAACGCCAGTTAAGATTCCTTCTCATCCAAGTTACTACTCTCGGAACCTCGGAAGACATGAGTCGATTAAAGACGCTTCCGCGAACCTATGCGCGCCACATTCATGCTAGCTTTGTCCGCCCCCTGTCGTTATTGAGATGACTATACTCGTACATGGTAGTATGTGTACCGAAGAGACGCCATCGGTATGGTCTCGGAACCAAGGGGTTCCACTTGAATGGTTTACCCACCCGTTTGACGACTATAGGGGGCACACGACCGTTGAGATGGTAAGGTGTACGTTCCGGACGCGCTAGACCAATTATGCAGGTTCCGGCTCTTCATATCCATGTTGTTATAGTGGACCCGATCCAGCAAGTAGCCTTTTAGTACCTGGAACCATGGCAGTGTTATCATTCAGCGGGTTAACTACCCGTTGTTGGCTTTGTCCTCATTTAGGTTTACGTAGCCCATGTCTTTTAATATATACTCCTGACTCACTAGGCAGCCAGCGCTTGTTTCTACTTGATCTTGAACTAGTACCTAAAGGCTGTACTGGAAGATGCACATTGTTTTGGTCGACTTTTGATTTAGCCTGATACATCGGAGCGTTTGCATGTGATATTCTCTTACCCTATAGTACGCTGATCACGGATAAGTGTAGAGCTTACTTACGCAAGCAAAACAATGGGCGATTTGTTCCGCTACAAGATCAGGTATGGCATATGTAGGGATCCTTGCAGCTAGGAATGCGCTAATATTCTATTCCTGAATTGGGGCTATATTAGAAGTAATTGACGCGGGGCAAAAGTGGGATAGTAGAATGGTATAGAATCATAGAATTAGTCTAGCATACGAGAGACAAAAAGAACGCCACCATTATAGCTAGAGTCAATAGCCAGTGTGCTATTCACTAGAGCCCACGAGTTATAAATTCCGAGCAGGTATAATATCTGCACTCATGATTGTGGCGTGCGCCCTTGGTGGAACTAAGACATCATGACCAATCACTAGAGACGCTAGGCTGTTTCTTCTAAATACTGAACGTACGGCAGAAAGAATAATGATATCCTTGGATGAAATACTGCCAGGTGTCCCAGAACAAAGGGATGCTCTGGCAAGCGACGGTTGACAAGAACAGCCCCCTGTTGGGTGCTTCAAACCCAGTGACATAGGCAATATGGTAACAGAGACCAAAAATATCATTGCTTGCAAGGAGTACTATTACATGTTCCTGTGAAATCAACCTTTGGGACCATCTTGTCGCAGCGCATGTTCTTTATGCGATTGTCAATGGATCCAGCTGCGCGAGTTCAAGGAGGCCATATAACTTATCCCTTCATATACAGAAAGATTTTCTGGATTGAGGATAGCCACCACACGGGCAATCTTTACTGAGCAATGATCTACTCTCCCATATTGTATCCTGACATGCATACATGTTGCGCATACTTCCTGTCCGACGAATTCGATACTGTGAACCGTGAAGAGGTCCACTACAACATCGTGGTGGACTGATTAGGTCACGAAGGCTCAGGTGATAGACGTTGACCAAGCGATTTCCATGGCAGAACTCATCTCATAATTTCTAGAGTAGGTAATTAGAAAAATACAATATTTGACCATTAATATAGACCACGCGCTCGTAGATATAGTACCTAGATTTAGAGGTACTTTTATTAACGGGGTATAAAGTGACAAAATATCTATAGTTGAAACGTACCAGGTACGAAGTCATCATGGTTGGAATCATGTTATGTCAGTAATATATCAGTATTATAATGTCACACGTCTCTCCAGTGTCCAGCACCGGACAAAGTCCCAATAATGAAACCCTATTCGTATGTATGCAATATCACTCATCCATCTGCCACTGGTAATCCAAAGCCTCCAGCCTTCCTTTCCGATTCCTAGCTGCAAACCACTCCTTCTCGAATCCATTACTGCGGTCTACACCATCCCACCGGTGCCCGGGTCTGATTCCATATCGATTCGGTTGAAAAGCACCCTTGTATAAAGGCTTCCCGGTTGCGCTCTTCCCGGGACCCTGTTTTGTCAAGAATTGCGCAGCTGGATCATTCCACCGCTGTCGGGCGCGCAACTCGTCATTCATATCTTCATCATCAACCGTCCGGGCGACCGGCATCGCCCGCGCTTCCTGAAGCTGCTCTCGACGTTTCTCTCGCTCTTGCCGCTGGACATCGCCCATCAGCGCCTCCTTCGCCTGTTCCTCCTTCTCAAGCTTTTCCTGCTCCGCCTTACGCGCCTCCGCTCGCTTCATGGCCACGTTAATAATTCGTCCAGACGCATCACGATAAATCGTCTCCTGTGCCTGTTCGCCTGCTGGACTATCCTTGTACAAGGCAGCCTCGACCTTCTTCCGTC